GATCGCGGGGGGAGGAGGAAGGGAGCAAAACGAGGAGAGGTAGATGAAAAGAGCATAATAAATGATTAGCAATGTAGAAGGACAGGGAAGAAGGAGGGGGGGAGGAGGGGGGGGGGCACTAAGAGGAGAGATGTAGACAGACAGAAGATGGAGAGGGAGGAGAGAAGGAGGAGGGAGCGGTGAGGGAGCGAGGCAGAAACAGCTCCAGTCTAGCATCTGGATTTTATTAGCAGCCGTTGGGAAAATCTGAAAAGGAAGTTTTTTCTCTGCAAGCACGTCGGCAGCAGTGATATGCTGCACATAACCACTTCACTGCCGACGAGAGGAGCCAGGCCCTCCCAAAGGAGAACAGATGGTCGCTAGAACTTCAATACAATTACATCAATAACAGCTTTCACAGATATAAGCACTGTATGACAGGATCCCTGCAGCTCAGAGAGACAGAAGTACAACTCCTCTACCCTTAGCACCTCTGGCCCTAGATAAATTGCCTTCCATCCTTTCTCACTCCCTGCCTGTCCTCAAGTTATCCTTGTTTGTCTTGCCAGTTTACCAGTTTTAAAGAAAATGTCTTGGAAAAGAAAACGGTGACATGTCATTGATTTGCTCATGGTAATCTGATCAAAGACAGGAGGGCTTTTGTCAGCACTTATTAAGGAGAACCCTTCCACCCCTGCCCCCCCCGTTTGTTTTTTTGTTCAACATGTTTGCTCAGCCGGCACTGCATGTGTACTATCACAGGGATTCTCAAGTAACATAGGGGAAAATATGTGTTTGTGTCCGCAGCATGAGCATATGCATCCAACAAACTTGTGAGCATGTGTGCATACATCTGCCTATCTATTTGTGTGTGTGTGTGTGAGTCTGTTTGTGCACGCACTGCCTGTCTCCCACCCTGTCATTAGTGAGGGCTTTAAAGCCTCCGAACTCTAAATCAGCTCAAGATGAAGTGGAGTCTGGGATCTGTCTGCAGCAGCAGCCTGTGAGCTGACACACAAATATACACACACACACTCCAATTTTACCTGTGACACAGTTCAGACTTCACACTGATAACAAGGTACATCAGACACAAAGAAAGAACATATGCACTGTATTTAGTTTGCTCTATGTCACAGGAAGATGACATATTGGTCTTTTGCTACTGATGCCAGCAGTCTTTTCCTTTGAATGGCATTTGGGCTGGTAGTATGAAAGAAGAAAGATGCTGTTGGTGCTACCCCTGAGTCTAAGGTCCAGGGCACAGGGCTAAAATCCCCATGTTTTGATATGAAAGCCTGGTGGGAGGATGGGGGCCAGGGGCTCAGGCTCTGTTTGTGTGGACTCCTCAGCGGCCTGATAGGGAACAGATGTGGGAAGGCAGGCGGCCGGGCAGCCAGCCAGAGCAGCTGGGAGAAATTAAAAACAACAGCATTCCTGGAGACTGGGGGAATTACAGTGGGAGGGAGGGAGCGAGGGAGGGAGGGATGTAAGAAGCGAGAGACAGAGAGAGAGTTTTAGGGCTATGTGGTCACTGACGAGAGTCTCTGTGGAGTACGAGAGATTGAATAGACAGGGGGGATTTAAGGGGACTGTTCTGCAGTGGTTAGCTAAAGCTAATAAGTTGCAGCTGTATTTCCAGTGGAAGCACGAACACACATGCACGCACATACAAACACAGATAATGCATACATTCAACACACTGATGTATGCCCATGTGAAATAAGTCCAATATGCATCTGAATGGCAGTCTAATGGCTTGTCATCACATGATAGTATTTATTTGTGTATGAGTATGCGTGTTTGTTTTTAAGGACTTTAGTGAAGGCATATGTCTTTAAATCTATAATGAGACCCCAAAATGGCTTTAGAAAGTTAGACAAACCACTGTGCACTCTCTCTGTGTGTGTGCGCAGTTGTACAGTACTTGATCTGTGGCTTTGTGTGCCTCACTGTGAATTGTTTTTCATCTTGTTTCATCATGGCACAAGGGGAGAGTAGAAGACAGAGAACATTTTTAGAACTCCGACTGCAGACTGTTTCTTTGGTGAGCAATCTTTTAGCCCCAATTACGTCAAATGTGCAGACATACAGCTGTTCAGAGTGTTGGAGAAACAGAGACAGACGCAGACAGCAGCAGAGAGGTAGGTAATGATTGCATTGTATCGTTTTGTTTTCGGCATGATATTTAGTAGTGAGTGTTTGGGACAAACAGCAACGTATCTGCATCCTGAGCAGATCTATTCTCAGCCATATTGATCACAAAGTGGCTCCTCTCATAGAGCCAGATAAAAAGGGTGGGGGGATAGAAGCAGCTATGCAGACAGGAGCATGGTCCAGAGCTGGACCTTAACCACAGCGGTCTGTTTTACCTAGTATACCAGTCTCTCTCTTTCTGTTTCTCTTGGTTTGAGTGTTTAGTCCTTCAGCACAAAGCACAATGGGAGCACAAATGGCCACAGATGGGGTGGCAGACCTAGCAGACTTCCTAATGTATTAAAAGTGAAATCCAGAGTGTGGTGTGTATGTGTGTGCCCTGTCCCTGTAGCTGGTCAGATTAAACAGCTGTCTATAATCCCACGGTGGGAGCAGACACACAGACAGGACAGTCCCCTTATCATCCTCTCCTCTCCTCTCCTCTCCTCTCCTTTCCTCCTGAGGAAGTGACAAAAATAGCTGCATTGTAAACATAGAAAGTCATGAAAGCATTTTGATTTTACATCACCCTCCTGATCTTTTTATCGCACGTGGGTCCAGCTCTTGTTCATTTTAGTGTAACCTCATACTCACAGACTAAACTACCGTCTAGAACAGTACTAGTACGATTGGTTATAACAGTACAATGCATGTCAGGATTCTTTGTTAGGATGACAATACTATATGGAAGTCCTACTACATACAGTGGCACACAAAATTTGATCAGAGAGGAGGTTTACCGAAACATATGGCTGCCTCTCTGCAGGAAGCAGCCCACAAATTCAGCAGCACGGAGAGCTTGTTTGTGTGTTTAAGATTCTTCACAAGAGAATGGCTGCATCTATTTATACCAGCCATCCATGTCTGCCTCGATCTACAGCCTTGTGTGTTTATGTACAGAGCGTCTGGCGTGGGGCAAACAGTGGAGTACCCCTCGTGTTCTTGAGGATCACTGTGTCAATGGCCCTCGTGCAGCACACTCCAGAGTGGCACTCTTTAAATACAGACACCAGCTGTTGAACACATCTACATGAGCTCTCAGAAATAGGCTTACGCCACAGTCTGAGGCCAACTGAGGCAGGAGTTTCGTTGAGGAAAACATTGCATTTATAGTTGGCTCATGAGGAGTGAAATGAAAGACAAATTATTTGAAATTGATTTAATATGTTAGTCTTGTCTGCAATACAGTTCGGAATAGTGTTTAGATCTATTAAAGGTATTTGGCTATTTGGTTTCAAGAGTGGTGGTGGTATTATTGTTATTTTTAGTAGTACAACAAGGCGTAATCACTGACAACTAATAACCCTTTACCCTGTGTCATGACAGGGCCACTCTGGCAGTGACCTCTACTCTGTGTATATGAGGATGTGAAATTAGGTTTTTGATTGTTTTTTTGTTTGCATTCTTTATTTGAGAGAACACACAGAGTTCATTTCTTTCTCCTTTCTCCTGTAATGCATTAAGAGACAGTGGAAAGTGAGAAAAAGAGAAACAGAGAGAAGATTTATTGAGTTGTTGAGAATCAATGAACGCCACATAAAGTCTACAATGTGATTTACATCTGCTTTGCTAGAGCATAGAAAAGGCCCCTCTCTCCTTACTCTTTCATTACAAATGCATATGTTTACTACACTTAATAGTGGTGTGTAGTACTTGTGCAGAAATACACACATACACATTTCTGTACTAATTTATAAACATGGCTGCATATTGATTCCATTGTTTTTCATTGCACAGTGCACATTTACTGTGCTCTCTGGCAGTTACACACATCTACACATACTCTAAAGCTATCTTCTCACAGGCTGCAAAAGTCATCACACCTCTCAGCTCAGGTTTACATTGCAGAAAGATCTGGTTCCAGCAGCTGCACCGACAGACGGACACATAGACAGAAAGACAGTCAACACTCTTAGCTCACGGAATAATAGACCTGCTGCTTATTTCCAGAATATAGTATGTATATAGTCTGACTTAGTGCATACAGTTGGGTACATGACAATGTTTTTGCGGAAAACATGCTGTTTGTATAGACTGCCTGAGGCCACAAATACAAAATGTAAGGCAACAGTCCTCACACATGCTTGTGGCCGTGGAGCATCCACCCCGTGTCATGTTTTCTTCTCATGTCCCTTGCTGTACCATCCATTCCCTTCACGCTACACAGGCTGGCCTTGCCTTGTTTGGTCCTGGCAGGGTGTCTGGCAGAGGACAGTGAAGCTCCTGGTAGCAGGATGGAGCTCTGCTGAAAGCTAGTCCACAGTGATAGACAGCAGCAGATCCAGCTGCACTTGTCACTGGCTGTCAAGCCGGCTGTCTGAACTAGCGGACGAGAGGGGACAGGCGGGGAGGAGTGAGGGGTGTGTGTGCATGTGAACGTGTGTGTGTGTGTGTGTGTGTGTGTGTGTTTGGGGGTTGGAGGTTACAGTGGAGGGGCACTGATTGGGATGTCAGAGCTACATGGAGTGTGTGTGCATGAAGGAGCGAGAGAGAGAGAGAGAGGGAAGGGGGGGGGCTCTCAGTCAGCAGCAGCTGAGCGAGTGAGCAGGTGTTACTGTATGTCTCCCAGGCCCATGAATCTCCAACAAGAGAGACACAATACAAGTTTGGATTCATTTCCACTCCCTGCATTGATTTGTTTTGGTTCTTTTTATGGGGCTTTTGGTTTAAGGAAACAATCGATGGTATTCAGGTGAAAATGTCAGTACTCTCCTCCCTAACCAGCTGTCTCCACTTTGAAAGTATGATGTTTTTTTCATGCAGGAGCTCCATCTTGATGACTCTCTATCTCTCTCTCTCTTTCTTTTTATCTTTTCATATCACAGGTAGCAGAGTGCAGAAGGTTGGAACAATGCCAGATTCACCTGCGGATGTGAAAACCCAGCCCAGGTCCACCCCACCCACCATGCCTCCTCCACCCCCGGCTGTCAGCCAAGCAACCAATCGCAATGCTTCATTCACCCCTACTACCAGTAAATCAAGTAAGGACCAATTCTCTTTTTGACTACTTTGTAAGATTAATGACATCTTAAGTCAACAGTAAACATGCATTTACTATTAGCATCATCTATAGTCCAGTATCTTTATCATAAACGACTAGCTGTACATGACCCACAGTTGTTTAGCTTACATGCGATGAGAACGTGCTTTTAGTTTTACTTGAAGATGGTATTTTTGTGCTGAAGAGTCAGTTAACTAGGCAGGTGTGAGAAAAGCAGTGATCTGCTGGACCAGCAACCCATCGCTGGAACAGCTCTAACCCTTGATTTCCCAATAAGAAGATAGCCATAGTTGCGTGAGCATCACTGCAAATAATGCTTCCCTACAGAGCTGGCATACATATGTAAGCATAGATTTAGTTATTTGTAGGTCAAAAGCCATTTTGGGATCCAGGTTTAAGCTGTACTAAATGGGGGTAAACTGTAGCCTAGAGGTTAAGATGCATATCATATGCTGGGATCACAATGTTTACAGTTTGATTCCAGTCAGAGAGCTTGTTGCATAACTCTTGTTATGGCAGTATTTCACTGGCTATGTTTCAACATGTTGTTAAGACCTGCTACATGCTAAAATAAAATGATTCACTCGTCAATCTGTATACAAATTTGTAAAATTCTGCAGTACCCCGGAAGCCATGTACCGTGGACTACACAATCATTCGTCCCTCTCAGGCCAGCTGTCATGAACATTTTATATGTTTGTGTAAAGGGAGAGAAATTCCAAATATGTGTGTCTTCCTTGTTCTGGTGAACAAGTGTTAAAGTCACTTGTGTGTCAGGTGTGTCACTGTGTGTTTCTTTTGGTGTGCAGAATGCCCTTGCTAGTGGGACAAGTGTCTTTGAGCGCATGTGCAAGTGCGGCTGTGGCATTGTTTGTGCATGTGTGTCTGTGTTGTTTACCAGCTGGTTGGGCAGTGGCCAGGGTGGCGATGCGGTGTGTAGACTATTTTCTTCCCTATATAGCAATGACAGGCCATGTTGTTTCACCTGTTGTGGCGGACGATCAGCAGTGTAGATCTCTCCTTGCACCTCTCCCTCTCTCTAAAACCAGAACACAAGTGCTGCCTGTAGGGATCACATGGGTCAGTCCATATGTGTTCAGGCCCCTCAACCACGCAACAAGCATGCCTGAGAGGAACCACAGGAACTAAATTATTATATAAAATAATATAATATAATATAATAATAACAACTAAACTGTTAATAGTCTTGTTTTCAAGTATGAGCACAACATCCACAGTGGCTCAGTGCAGAGTGCTGTAAATACATTTTGAAAAGATTAAGTTGCTGCAGTGGCAGTAAGATTATAGTTTGGATGAAGTGCTCAGTGTAAGTGCTTGCATATGCTGCTCTAATGAAATACACTTATTTTATTACAGGCACATACAAAGATCACCATATGTTTAATCTGAGAGAAAAGATGAAATTTGGTCATCATTAGTTATTTAAACACACATATAATGCACATAAATTTATATAAAAAATATGACACACTAATAAGAAACAGGAAACGGAAAAAGAGTCTTACATAAAATAACTTGATTTGTTTACAGGGAAATCATATTAGACTGATGATGTCATCTGGCTCCGATATGAAAACAGGGGAAAGGTCAAACATGTGTGTGTGTGTTTATATGTGTGTGAGCTCCAGCTTATTTGTGAATTTGTTTGAGCCTGCATTACGGAGAGTATGTGAGTGATTATATATGTGTATGAATGCTGCGTCTATTCTGAACCTTAAAGCTGCAAATCTACTTTCAGCTGGTGGACATGTGTAGGGCCAGATTTAGATACACACCTGCTATTGGAATAAAAGTAACACAGGCCACAGGACTATTTTTGGCACCTCTTTAACAAGTTCCTCTTATAGTTGTGTCCTAGTGAGTGAAGGGGGTAGGGTGAGTAGCAGGGTGGAATAGACTGATATAGGGGGCAATGGAGGGGGGAGGGGGGGTCAAATGGTAGCACTTGTGAGACAGCTGAAGTTACACACAAACACACGCTCACAGCACTCAGTGAAAGTGGCTGAAAATTGCACTACTGAAGTCGTTTTGTGCATCATGTACTATAGGAATGGTGTCAAATTGATTTACTCATGTTAAATCTTAACCACACACTCCTCTATCAGCAGGATATAATTGCGTCTGCCCTCATCACGCCCCCAGATCTGTCAGATGCCCCCCCAGGCACCTCCAAAACTACTGACCCAATTCACGTTGTCTTTTCCTTCTGTCTGTTTATCTGCAGTGCTGAATGGGAGCAGCCACTCACCTACATCACTGAACGGTGCTCCGTCCACTCCCAACGGCTTCAGTAATGGGCCAGCCATGTCCTCGACGGCCTCGCTTTCCAACCAGCAGCTCCCGCCAGCTTGCGGTGCCCGACAACTCTGCAAGTTGAAGCGCTTTCTGACCACGCTGCAGCAGTTTGGCAACGACATATCGCCTGAGATTGGAGAGAGAGTGCGCAGCCTTGTGCTTGGGCTGGTGGTAAGTTCTGATTGTATTCAAGTGGAATTATTTTGATCTTTCAAACCACACTACAGTGCATCCATCCATTCATTCAGCAGTTTCTCTTTATTTTGTATCTACTTATTATTTGATGATAGCATACAGTTAATTAATGCGTTGCAGAGTATTTCACATACAGTCTCAAATGCTTATATTTTTCTGTTATGCAGAACACATAATAACTTATGGCTACAACATATTATCTAAAAAAAAAGTTATCTTACATGACTTTGGTGGCTCTGTAAAAAAGAGTGTTATAAGAGTTTGTTTATTATTGACTCTTGTGTCCACGTTTTGTCTAACTCCACTCTCTTGGGCAGAACTCCACTCTCACCATCGAAGAGTTTCACTCCAAACTTCATGAGGCCACCAACTTCCCTCTGAGGCCATTCGTCATTCCGTTCCTGAAGGTAAATACTTGTGCGCAGATTTGATGTGAGCTAAATCAAGCCTGATGTCTTCAGCTGACAAGCTCAGAGCTTTCTACTGCTGTCCATATGGCCAGTATTCAGGACTGTGTGTTTGTTTGTGGGCAGATATTGCACCTTTTCTGCCTCAAAACAGGTTCACAGAGACGCAGGGTGGGAAACCTTGTTTTGATTGGAAAACCTATGGGTGTGCACTGTACTTAGTAGTACTAGGTAAAAAATAGTGGGATGTGCTTGTGAGTGTCCGTTAAAAGTGGTGTGTGTGAGTGTGTCAGACCTCCTGGTGTGCGATGATCCTCCACATCTGGGACATTGCAGCAATGGCTGCTTTATATCAACCAGACAGGTCTGAGAGAGCTATTTGACAGCACTGACACACACACACACACACACACACACACACACACACACACACACACACACACACACACACACACACACAATATACACACCCCAGAGAGAGAGAGACACATGGCAGAGGAAGGTGTCAAGGGACCTGTCTTATCTCATCCTGTCTCTTCATCTATCACCTTCTTTATTTCTCACCCTAATCTTGCATTATTTCACTCTCACCCCATCTATCTAATTGTCCCACCATGAGTTCCTTGCTCACCTCTTGTCCACGTAACACTTCTCCACTTTAACATCAGTTCAGTAAATCTATATTCTTCCTACAACAACTTATTTCTTTCCTAATCCAGATATGTCTCTCTTCCTTGTTTTCACCACTGAAGGCAAACCTGCCCCTGCTGCAGAGAGAGTTGCTCCACTGTGCCAGGTTGGCCAAGCAGACTCCAGCTCAGTATCTCGCCCAACATGAGCAGCTTCTCCTGGACGCAAATGCCAGTTCGCCCCTCGACTCCTCTGAGATCATGCTGGAGATGAATGAGCACGGCAAAAGAAGGACCCCTGACAGGTAGCATCTCCTGATTAACACATACTCACAGACTATAGAGGTGCACATACATTGGCAGACTCTCACACACCCAGTGTAATATATAATCATTTCAGGGTATTTCAGAATGCTAAACGACAAGGGCAGTCTATAAATCCTCTGTGCGGGAGGCGGAAGTCTGGACAGCCACGATGTCAGGGCGGCTCTGCCAGCTGTCTGGGAGGGAGGGGTGAGATGAATGCATAGTAGGGAAGGAAAGAAAGTGTCTGAGAAGAGAAGAGGGGTTGAAGTACAGTAGATGTCCTCAGCACAACCCAAAGACCAACAGTGAGCTGGTTAGCAATTGTCCCACATTTCGCCCCAGCACTCTGCTTTATTCAACCAGCTAGAAGACGACACAAGAGAGAATTAACTGACATTTTCTTTTCTTCCCCTTTGTGCCGTCTCGTACTGGCAGTGTCCTTCTTTTATGATCACTTTTTCATGCGCTCTCTCTCTCTCGCTCTCTCCAACTGCCTGACCTGCGGGCTCCCGGCAGCTGTCCATATGTCAGGGATGTGTCCAGATGGTAATGTGCTGACCGTAACACTGAGCACATCCTGAGCGGGGTGTGGGGAGGTGGGTGGTGGCGGGACTAGGGGTTGGAGCGTGCAATCCCACTGTAATCCGCACACCTCCGCCTCCCAACCTGTGGCTTACACACAGCAGGCGGGGCTCAGTGGAGGAGGTGGAGGCAGGTTCAGGCCTGGGGCAAGGCCTACGTCGAGCCAGCTGTTCCTCTGATTTGTCAGATACTAGAGCAAGGGATGTGTACGAGTATAGCCGACATGCACAAATATACACATGGATAAGTATGAGAACACACATACATAAACACACATCATCTACATGGGGCAGCGGCGCATTTATTCGCCTTTGATCCCCAGGATGATAAAGAGTGATTTCCATCCGAATGCCATCCAGCTAAACAGATTAATATAAACACTCCCATTTAAACTGTCCAGATGGCTTGAAAACCCAACCTCTCCCACACACATAAACACACACACATTCACTTGAAGTACGCAAATGAGTGTCACTAAACATCTGCCACACACACAGCATTCAGCCCATATTGCCCCTTAAGCCCGAGAGCAGGGTGGGAGGGAAAGGGGAGAAATACTTGCAATCTAAGAGTAGGCTGAGGGATATTCAGATTAAGAGCTTGAGATGCAGGGTGTACAGTTAGACTTGGCTTTGTTTGGTACATATGGCGTACAGCTGTGCAAGGGCTTTTGAGGGCCACTGCTGCACTGTAACTGAACAACAAGCAGCTTTCAGTAGGAATACACGTGTGTGTATGTGTTTGCATACACCACGTGGGAGTTGTTGAACTTTAAAAGAAACAAGTTTGTGTTCCTTGCTGGAGCCTCCTCAAACAGGTATAGTCCACAATACTATACACAAGGTGATTTCTCATCTGTTCACTGTGGCACTCCAAAGTTACAAGGCTCCTTTTGCTTTTAGAGACCCATTAAAGGAGACATTTCGACTCTTGAATTTTGCCTTAATTTGTTTAGAATTATAGCACAGCTGCTATATCGCATTTATGAGTTGTGCTGATGAGTTACATCAGACATCAGAAGAAGAATCATGTCTATCTATTTATTTGTTATGTTTGTACACTACAGTATACTTTTTTTGCCCCTTGATTAGATTTTAAGGGCATTCTGGTGCTTGCCTGGACATGTTTTTTTCTGAGCTATGAAGTAATACTTTGGCATTGCATATTTAGCCTGGCATATCCCACAGTTTTCACATTACTCATTGTGGTCTGGCGAGGCCATAGATGGACTAGCTAGAGAAAGATGAAGCAGGCCGTACAAAGTTAATTCTCCTCCTTCTGACATTAACATGGTGTCAAAAATCAATTTCCGAGTAAAGCTGAGTTGAGAAATGAGCCATGCAGTTGCAGATATTTTTGTAAATGGGGTTAGTCACTTTTCTGTCCAGCTTTTATATGAAGCAGCTGAATCGATTCTTGGGTGGACATTTGTGGAATAATGGTAAATGTGGTAGTGGATACAGAGCTTATGAGATGAAGTCTGGCTGTGCATGAAAAAAACACTGAACTGTACAACAAAGATCTGTTTTGTTGTAGATCATAATTTACCACACATCCCACACTTCCCACTGCTGGAAAAACGCTGCAGGCCAGCAGTCGGTGTCCAACATGTCTTTGGGTCTACTTTTTCATACTGTATACTGCAAACTGTGTTGTGCTGACATTATCTACTGCTTGGCTTTCATTTCTGTTCTTTTTCTCTTTTTAACATTAAATCATGTTATAACCCATTCCCATGTCCTCCTCTACAGGACCAAAGACAGTTCAGAGAGAGATGGGTTGCACCCAGAGCACCTGGCTAAGAGGCCCTGCACCATCAGCCCCAGCCAACGATTCAGCCCCAGCACGGGTCTTCCTGCTCACCCGCCTCCCAATGGCCTGCCCACACACCCTCCAAATGGACTATCTCACCCACCCAACCCCCAAATGGGACCCCAGCACTACCGGCTAGAAGACATGGCCCTGGCACACCAATACAGGGACGCTTACAGACATAATGAACACCGTGACGCCCGAGACAGGCACAGGCCGACAGGTAGAACAGCTGCAAAGCATTCACAGGATCAGCTAAATCTATTGCTCTACAGTCCTCAGTTCAATGATCAAGACCGTGGGCCTGTGCATATGAAAGTGGGGTGTATGTAGACAACAAAGGCCAGTTGTCTGTCCAGTGTGATAATCCTTGTGGCAGTGTGTCTATATAAAGACCACAGCCATACATGCCCATGTGCTACAACTGTGGCAACCATATATGCCTTCCTTCTGCTTTCCCAAAAGGAAAGAGATGAATTCTTAGCCAAACTGTCTAGCTGACATGAGGCAATAGCTTGGGCAAAAAAAGCCACCAGATGACCTGAGAAGTTTTATTTGATTGATTGAGTGTTTGATGTGCCAATAAGTTACTCACAGCATAGCACTGGGTTCAAGGTTAGAAATTCACCGGTGTCCCATTGTCAAACACCCAGTTTTTGTTCAAAGATGGTTAACCCTGGAGTATTTTGCTGCTTGGAATCAGGAATACTGTATACCGTATGTGTTCTGAATCTGACAGAGACCCATGTGTTTGTCTTTTAGCAGTGCATGGAGCCCGCCAAGAGGAGGTGATTGACCATCGTCTTACAGATCGAGAGTGGGCAGAGGAATGGAAGCACCTTGATAATGTACGCATCTGCATGATAATGTCAATACCTCTTTGTTTCTTTCATAAACTTCATAAAGCAGTGAAAAAAAAGAGGTCAGCAGGTGATTCAAGCTAATTTTAGTGTTAAAGATGGTATGCAGATAACAGGGACAGGAACTGTTGACAGACAGAACAGCCTCCGTCCCATCTGAGTTAACAGGTGATGGACAGCTGACCTTAGGAGGTCTGTGTCAGTTTGGTGAATTAACAACAGACAGACACCTATCTGGCTTTCTGGCACCCAACTCTATGTATACAAAATCATGTACTCCACACACGCACACACACACACACACACACACACACACACACACACACACACACACACACACACACACACACACACACACACACACACACACACTCACACAGAAACAGGGCCCCAGATGGAGCTCAGGACCCAGCAGAGAGCAGCTCCAGCTGGGGAGAGCAGCTGAGACAAGAGCTGCAGTCATGGAGAGAACTGGCCAGGCCTGGACTCCTGCCAAATTAGAAACACTTCACTGAAATAAATATAGCTAACTTAGAGGGGAGGAGGGAGTGGAGGGGCAGAGGAAAGGAGCTGAGACAGAAAGAGAGAGACGGAAAGATGAATGGGAATAATGATATGGATTGAATGTCAAACATGCTAAACCCATTTAGAAGACCGGGCCGGGTCTGGAAACACAGGGCACTGTGGAAAAAAGGGACACTGTTTACAACGGTGGGGGGTGAAGGAGAGAAAAGAGAGGAAATCTGTTGAGCTGGCAGGGAACGGAGCAGAAGGGTGGAAGGAATTGGCTCAACTTTTTCATCAGCAGCCCAGCTGTTAAATTATCGTCATTGCAATGCAATGCTCACAGACATTGAAATTCACTGACGAGCACACAATCCATGGACAGACAGGCAGAGACAGAAACACACACATCTGCTAGGTGGTATGTGTTTTGGGACAGATTAAAATATTGTGTACATTTAAAACTCAGTGGGTCAAAAAGTAACTATTCCCTTTTGTCAGGGCTTTGTTTCTATGGCATGTGGAGTTTCTCATCGATTTATCAATTACGGTTGATAGTTAGTTTTGGGGGGACCTGGGCATGTATTTAGGAGCTTAAAAGATTTACCTTCAACAAAATGGTCTACTGTTCTTCTCCTCTTCATTCATCACTTTAACGAAATGCATTAATTCATCCTCAATCCTGTCTCACTGTAGCTCTTGAACTGCATCATGGACATGGTAGAGAAGACACGCCGCTCTCTGACGGTGCTGCGGCGCTGCCAGGAGGCCGACCGGGAGGAGATGAATCACTGGATTCGGCGCTACAGCGACGTGGAGGAGATGAAAAAAGGTGGGAGCAACGGACAGCACTGCCTTCCTCCTCCTCCTCCTCTTCCTCCTCCTCCTCCTCCTCACCACAACTCCTCCTCCAACACAGCTAGCAGCAGCGAGTCACTGCCCATAGGAACTTCCTCGGCTGCTGAAAGGCAGACAGGCAGACAGACAGGTAGACAAACACACACAGGGTATGTTTGGCAAAGCAAAACACTCACAGCAAGGTAGGGCTTATTTGAAATGCTGAAAATGCTGTAATATATCAATTTAGACACAAAAAGTCAGTTAGATTATCGTATTTTTCGGCAAATTTACAGATTTTTGCTCATACTGTGAGGCAACACAAATCTAGCTGCATCAACCTGGATCTTTAACCAACTGATTGCACCCTTATGCTGCCAGCATGCTCATTCATAATTAAGATTTGCATTCACTTCTTATTCCCATATTCCCATTCCTTTACAGAAATGGTTGAGAAGTTGATGACAGCTTATTTACTGATGTTGCCACACACATAGTTTGTATCGGTCCCAATGCAAATAGAATAGCAAACTATAGGGGATGTGTGTCATATTAACATTCTATCACTATGTGTGTGTAATTGAGACTGAGTGTGTGCCTGGTTGTGTGTTACAGAGATCCACAGAGACTTCTTACACAGGCCTCCCTCAGGATACCTGCCAGAAGAAATCTGGAGGAAAGCTGGTAAGGGCCAAGCACCCCCCTTTCTCTCTATTGTCTTCATGATTGACCTCACACAGACTTACAACAAAACACACACACAGTCGCCATCATCAGTCTTCAGGGCCCTCACCCTGGCTACCAGAACAGAGGCCTTACAGCCATAGGTCCATCAGGGCAGAGGATTGGAGGCCTTCTGTGTCATTAGGGCTAAATGCCATCCATCTGTCACCACTATGAAAGGCCACTGCAGTTAAAGCTGCAGTGAAAATGCAGTCACCTGGCCCAAGGCAGGCCGCAGCAGCACAGCAGAGGTTGGAGATTAACTGGTCTCCACTGTCCTAAGAAACACACACTCAAGTTTTTATAGTGATTGTTTTCTAGTTTCTTGCACAGTACACAAACTTATTACTAAAGTGAATCAAATACAGACATTTAGACAAAAAATACAGACAAAAAATCTTGACCATGGTTTTTATGTTTGGCTCAGTTTGTAGCCAGAGGGAAGCAGGTGGGAGTGTTACATTTGCATGGGCCTTCTTGTAGACTGCATGTTAGATAGAGCCCATCCCAAGAGTCATCTGGTAGCCCTGGTTCCACCCCAGTCCCAGCACTATTATGTTGCAGTCATACTCCAATACCCTGTGGAGGAAAGATGCTGCTGCTGTCGGCAAAATACTGTGCTGCATTTTCACCAGCAGAAAAAGCTCTTTTAATTGCAGTTGTTTTTCATACAGGTACTACAAGCATCCCGCTCTCCCCAGCACTAAAGCACCTCCAAAACAGGCAGGGTGAGTAACATATCTCACTCGCAACATCTCACTTGTAGTGTGTGTGTGTGTGTGTGTGTGTGTGTGTGTGGGTTCATGTGAGCATGCGTCACCTCTATCTTAGCAGCCAGGTAGTCTGCCTGGCGTAGCTTCTTTTAATTAAAACCAGACACGTATTCTCTGGTCTGGTTCAGGTTGAGAGACTGCAGTGCTTTTGAAAAATAAGATCTGAAGTGTGAAAAAGCAGACAGAAATAACACGTCTCAGGGACTTGCCAAATCCCTGTGGAATTAAAACGTTAATTTTGCTGCCCCCGTGTTTTCCATTAAGTGCTAATTGCCCCAGCATCTGCTATGCAGTCTCCTTGATAAGAATTAATTAAATTTGCAAACTAATCTTAGTGGTGCATGCATTAGGCCAGATAATTGAGAAGCCCGGGATAATGCAGATAGTGTTTGCAAGGGAGAGAAGAAAGAGGAGGAGGAGGGGTATAAGAGAAAGAAAAAAGGAGTATAAATGAAATGAAGGATAAAGGTAGAGACGGGATGAGGGAAGCATTGAGACGTGTGTCTGAGTGTGACTGTATGTTGACAGGACTGACAGAATACTAACTTTTTAGCATATTTGAATTGGAATCAAGCTCAGGCATGCACACATGCACGCACAAACATACATGCACACACAGGCATGTGCATATAAACAGCACAGTGGGGATAAGACTCCCCCTGCTGCCTATCTTTTTGCACAGTAGTTTGAAACAACTGGAGTGGAGTGGCGAGGAAAAGTGACAGTTATTTATGAGTTCCCTCTCAAACAAACACTGACTACAGGAAATAGGGAGCAGTGAAGAGAACAGCATCAGTCTCACCTCCTACTTGGTTGGCCTAACACACCTGGAGAGCCACTTGTATGTATGTCATTTGTGTGTGTGTGTGTGTGTGTGTGTGTGTGTGTGTGTGTGTGTCTACATCTGGAGGAGGTGGAGCAGAAGGAAGAAAAATCATTTAATCTTTAAAAATGTTGCTGTCTTTGATGACAGGAGAAAATGTCATTTTAGAGGAATTCATATCGTGTGATCATGACATACCACATTAGCATTTGATTAATAAATAGTGTATATATGGCAACCTATTTCTCAGGTTTATAAATCCCTACGAGGAATCATACACAGTACATTTGTTGTGCACCGTGAGGCCAATAATGAAAGATGGCAAAATGTAATCACTCCTGCCTCTTACTGAGAAGGGACTGTGGGAAGTTTCTATTTTAGACTGCCATCTGGAAAGGAGTCTACACACCTGCCTGTTGTAAAAGCACAGCCTCCTCACTCATACAGTTTGTGCTTGTGCTGGAAGAACAAAAGGCCCCATGATAAAATCTACATAGAAGGTGGTGCAGTTGAGATATGCATGCCCGCTGGTGGGGAAATTATTCACTTTCCACTGTAAATTCGGTGTAACAATTTCTATTAAAATTATTCTTATGACAAGATGACAATCATGCAAACAGGGAATCCCAGGATGTTGGATGAGCAGCCAAACTTTGGAGACATCTGCTGTTGTCAGCACTGGAAATTATGGTGGCCAGACGTGTTTGAATTAATTATTGAATTCTGGCTGTTTTCCTTTTCTGACAGAAAGTTTTAAATCTTAGATGATGTACATCTGTTCTCTGAGATACAACAAGATGGCAGCTTTAAGAGCCTTAATAAAGGATGACAGAGCAGGCAGGATGGGGCGATGGTCACAAGCACTAACACCTTTCTCTCTCTCTCTCTCTCTCTCTCTCTCTCTCTCTCTCTCTCTCTCTCTCTCTCTCTCTTTATCTCTTTCAGAGGAAGCAGTGAATGAGGTTAAGCGACAGGCAATGTCAGAGCTGCAGAAGGCAGTGTCGGACGCTGAGAGGAAGGCTCATGAGATGATTTCGGCTGAACGGTCTAAAATGGAGAGGGCACTGGCCGAAGCCAAGAGGCAAGCCTCTGAGGATGCGCTAACAGTCATCAACCAGCAGGAGGATTCCAGTGAAGTGAGTATCACAGACCCCCCAACCACATTTTGCTTCATTCTCACTCTAATTCCTTACTCAGTCACTCACTCTTTTCAACACTTTTTGATCCATCCATTTCCCTTTAATTTGTTCTCCTTATCCACTAAGTTATCCTGTGTTGTGTAAGCAGCTGGCTGCTATTGGTTTGGTGCTGCACCATGTTGTCATAATTATTGCAGAAGCAGTCCAGTTGTCTGTGTACATAAAAGCAGACAGACCCAGATGGTTGGAGCAGAGTGCCAGGCTGAGGCCATTACAGAGCAGTTGACCACCACCTGCTGGTAACACAAACCAGTGGCGTAGGACCAGGACTTAAAGCCTTAGAATTAAAACTCTGTGAAAAGGAGGATCAGGCAAACTTGATTATAAAAAATATTTTTTTTAGGTTTCAACATATATATTTATGTAAAAAAGAGAAAATTCTGTACTATTCTGGGACAAAAAAGAGACTTATTTTTATCAACCCACTCTCTCCCCACTGTCTCACCAGAGCTGCTGGAACTGCGGGAGGAAAGCAAGTGAGACGTGCAGCGGCTGCAACACGGCTCGCTACTGCGGCTCCTTCTGCCAACACAAAGACTGGGAGAAGCACCACCATGTCTGTGGTCAAGGCCTGCAGGGGCTGCCAGGGGGCAGCAGTGTCCCTCTAGGCACCCCCTCCTCCTCCACCTCCTCCAGTGCGCCCCCCACCCACTCGGAAAGCACTCCTCCAGGACCTTTGTCCCTGGCAGGCCAGAGCAGTATTGCGGGAGGGGCTGGTAGTGGCAGTGGAAGTGTCTCTGCCAGCCCCAAGGAGAGCAGTTCCAGCAGTGCCTCGCGCTCCACAACTCCAGCTACCCCTGCCCTACTGGATGCCACCTCTCGCTGACGTCTGACCCCTTGTCCCTTCCCTGCATACTGATGCGACAGTGCCCACACTCCACACAAAACCAAACTGAGGAATCTTCATCGCACACTGCTCCCTTTCCTCCTCCCGTACTTCAATCCTTATTTCCCTCTTATCCTGAGCTCTTCTGAAAATCTTCTCACTACCTGATGATAGACTTGTTTTCTGGACATGCCCCCCCCTAAAAAAAAACAAAAAATACTTTTTTCTGTCTTTGTCTCTTTCACAAACACAGCCACAAATACAAAGATTCCAGCCTGGGGTTCAGTGTAGTGGCAGGCATAAAAAGTGTCTCCTATCTCCATGTTCAGTCACAGAAACATATCAGATGTGTTTGCTGAAAACATGAGCTTTGACTTGAAGATGTGACTAAGATGTGCCCTCAGTAATGTAAGCACGTTAAAATACTGTCCACATAAGGACACAAGACAAGGGCTGGTGGTAAGGCAACATTGATGGGGGATGACTAGGACGATTAGCACTTGGATAGGATTTCCCTTTAATTTAGCACCAATGAGAGAACAGTACCCAGCTCTGAGATGTGCACTACCAGTCCAAACAGTTCACTGATGTGGCACTTATTCTACAGTGTTCTAATGGAGACAGGAAAGGGACATAATACCATTTTTCAAATGGATGAGGGAAGGGGATGCGATTAATTCCTCAGAAACACAGCTTAGTATTTATTAAATGTTTCTTTCTGGCTTTAAGGGAAAATAAAGAAAAGTCCAAATATTCTAAATAAAGAATAATAGTGATGATGATGATGCTGATGATGATGATAACGATAATGATATGAAAATAAATTAATTTTAAACTGCTAACTACCTTGCTAGCGAGCCAAGAAAATCTACACCGGACTCACCTCTCTGCACCATTGTGAACCCAAATGAATTCAAAGATGAAAAATAACATGATCCAAACCTTTGTATTACACTGCCAAAGTGAGTAAGTAAGCGATAAGGAGAAGCACTCATCTTATAACCAAACGCAAAGCAACATCACCTCCTCAGCAGATAAGCCAGCCCTGAGAGGACCAGGCTGCAGAGAAGCTGCAGAACGGGACCCAGAGATAGTCAGACATTAAAACAAAACTGTGACCTGCTTTGATCTGCAGCTGCCTCCTGCAGTCTGGACAAAACTACAGCGATTCCTCAGTGATGGCCCAGACTAGTGAATATGGACAATGCTGTGAACTTGCCTACAAGAAAGACTTAATGAAATGGATGGAAACCCTGCCACAGTGTGATTTTTCGTGAACGGTAACAGAGAGGATAGACAGAAAAAAAACGAGGAAAGGAAAAGCTACACAGCCTCAAAGGAGATGAAGATACATACATGGCAATGGAGCTGCCAAAAACCTCAAAACAAGCTTGAAAACATTGTCCAGGAAGGCATTGCATACTACAAAGACGTATGGAAAGATTGTTTGTAAGTCCTTTTTTTAAAGCTCGAGGAGATATTTCAAGGAATTGCTGTTACCTTTACATTCACTCCCTCCTTTTTCCAAAGCATGATAAACAGATGAAAGAGCCTAGTGAAGGGCGGTGTAGACTTGGTTCTCCTCTCTCTTTCTACCTCCCCTCACCCCACACCTCCCTTCTACGCTCTTCCCCAACTACTTGACTCAAGTCTGCCCCCAGCCCCAGTCTGCTTTGGACAGAGCCTCAGAGCAGTCACGTGGGAAGGGTTCGAACCTGCTTGTAGATATTGTTCCTCTTTTCAATTTCAATAATGTCTCTTGTCGCTGATGTCCATATGTGCTGCCCTTGTGTATATCCAGAAAGATGGACTTTGTTTTGGTTTTGTTACCTTTCATTTTTCCTCCTTTAAGTTTGGGCTGAGCAGTGAAGTCAGAGCAAGGACACTCATTTGTGAGAGGTAGCCCCACATTTTACTTATTGTTTGATTTGTTGTATCTATATTAATGAGATGAAACCCCTCTTGTAGAATATTTTGTATTGCTCGCATTGTAAGACAGTGAGAGGACGGAGGTGCAATATGAAGAGAATTCAGCTACTGAATGGAACCTCAGCAACTGCCCATAGGGTGTCATATAATATAGATACATATAAATATATTTAAAGTAACATCGGTAACTTAATGTGAATGTACATAGTATTTAAAGAGGTCCAAAAATGTGTTTGCCAAATAACAGAAACCTTTAAAGTTTAATGTCCAGAATATGATTTTCTCACAGTTCATTTGTTTCTCAAATTTATAAATTTTTCCCTTTTTTCTGTCATACTAGTTAAACACTTAAAAATTTCACTCAAATCCAAGTGTCATGTGACCCTGGGTGGAGGAGATTGTTGGTAACAATGGCTCCCTACAGGACCACAATGCATGTAGCTGTAAATGGATGAAAACAGATTGTGGGTGGATGGACACTACAACACTTACAGAACATTTTCTTAATTATTTTGTTTATGTTTCACATTAATCTTCTTACTTTATATTGGGATGACACATTTGGGACTAAATTATGTAATTTCCATGTGTTTCATTCACCCCAGGTCAGTTTACATCCTGCAGGAGAGGACTCAGCAGTGTGTACTGACAATAAAAGCCCAAATATAATCAATCATCAATAATCAACAGTTTGAAAAGAAAAAAAGTGGCAGCTCAGATTCAAATTTAGTTCCTTCACGCAAAATTTAGGAATTCAAACTTGATATATCATCTCAAGTGTTCTGTTTCTTACTATCCTTTTGGCTCAGCTGCCACTGTAGTGACCCTCTGTCTTGGTCCTCATCAACTTGTGTGCGTGCGTGTGTATGTGTGTGTGTGTGTGTGTGTGTGTGTGTGTGTGTGTGTGTGTCTGTGTGGTAGGAGTTTTTGTTTCCCCCAAGGTGCAGGACAAGCCATTACTGTAGGATTCAGTGATATGCCAGTGTTAAGCTACAGTAAACCTAAAACCTAATTTTGATACCCAATCTTTGAAATGTTTCTTTCTTTTTCATTTCTTTTTTTGTTTGTTTTTGTTTCTGAGTATTTGTAAAGATGCAATTTGAGCATAAGCTAAAGATCTGGTATGGGTCTTTATTTCCAGGCCAAGAAAGAAGCTTCACCTCTTTAGGGTTTATTTTATTTATTCAGCCCTTCCCACATGCTCCAGCAATATGATCACCTCTATGTATGTTAAACAGTCCCAAGGCCTTTACTTAAAGCAACAGAGGGCCATGCTCACAAATTTGATATTGATCATTGTAAACCCTATATGGTTGGCCTCATAAACACTTGGACCAAACTTGAAAAAAATAAAATAAAATAGGTAACTCTTCTTCTTTTTGCAGTGAGTGGCAAAAACTTTGCTTTTTATTCAACAAAAAATAGATAAAATAATTAATTTGTTTGACTATCTGAGACATATAATTCAAAAGGGATAAGCGACAAGATACCCCTGCATCTGTGTGTAGCATTTCTGTATGTGTGTTATAATTACCGTGATATGATGTTGACCTCAGCCTTTTTGTTTTCTTTTTCCCAATGTCTAATTCCTCCACTATTACCACAGACCACTCTTCATAATGCGCCCTTCACACTAGCTACCTCCTGTGACCATACAGCTAACCACCAGGAGAGGTTGACCTGGACTTTGAAAAGCTGGGCTGAGAGCAGACATGGAAATGCACATTTAAAAGCGCTAATGTGAATCCGTCTGAAAAATGATAAAAACTAAAACGTTGAAAGGAATTGCCATTACTCACAATGTAGAAGAATATTTATTCTCAGCAGATGTCTCCTTTCTGATCGTATACCACTAACCAAACTAATACTGCTGGAATTAATTAAGTACACATACAGTCAATCCTTACTTAACTGAACACAGAATCAACCATGACATGCCATTTGTTGTCCAAAACCAATAAAAGCACAAACCAAAGTACTCCTGCATTGCCATAGTAGGCTTTGACACAAGGTGTATTGACAGACCAGAAATAATAAGGTTAGAGCTCCACTACACCAGTTAACCAAAGTGTCTGAAATGTACACAATCAGGGCACAAGAGTGAAGAGCACACTCAGTAAACCAGCTGAGTTTTAAATATGTAGAGTTCTTATTCAAGCAATCAAAGCGCTTGTTGTCTACATATTGAATAGTGCTTCTGTAAAAATAATGGAAGCATCTCCTTTGGAAAAGCCTACTGATTGCGTGTTCTTACAGTTACAAAGCATTGCAGAGATAAAAATGAATACATGGTGGGTGTGTGTTTTTTGTATGAATGGTGGTGTGTGTGTTTTTGTAAAAAAAAATGAAAAAAAAAAACCTTTTTTTTTCATGTCTCTGTACAAACTACTTGAAACCTTCAGAGCTTTAATGAAACATCCCAGACAGACTATAGTGGCAGATCGATTCACAATATGTAGCAACAGCTTTGTGCAGTAAAATACGGTGTTTGCATACAATATCCTCATCAAAACAACATTGTAATGACAGTTCCATTCAACTCTTAAGTGCTTTGCATGTGCCTCCTTGTCTGCAAGTCAGCCCTAAGATAAACTACACAAAGCCAAACCCAGTAGACCTATTATAAATGACCAAAATGCAACCAAAAGCTACAACTTTCTTCTTAAGATTTCACTTTGGTTCAGGTTTTTGTGTTATGTCCCAGCGTTAGAGAACTTCAACATGGTCGATTGTGCAGCAGTCCTACAAAAATCTGAGCTGTAGAAGAAAGAGCAAATTGTCCTTCCCTGAGATTCTGAGATTCAATGTTCTGTTCAGCTGGGTGTAAGCTTCATTAAGTCATGAAACAATTGAGATATGTGCCGAGGTGTCATATCCCTTTCTCTGTGAAGATATTATAGATGGCTAACGCATAAGGGCTCTGCTGTTGTGAATACCATCCAAGGGTCTCTGAACACTTTACATCAGCCACTTTTCTATTTGTTTAATTTTGTACATGATATGGGCAAATCGCATGTTTAGAAAAGACAAATATTAGCAGGTTGGCATTTGTCTCTCCCTACCCCAACCAGTAACTCTACCAATGAAGTTTCAAGGCTCATCTGATGTGATGGTGACACGTCCTTCCTGTGAAACAGGCACTGATAAATAGCTACAGCAGAAAGCTAAAGTGGCAAACAGTGGATTCAGCACTTGTTTTCCCAAAAGCCATGGCTCAGGATGGTCCTGTTTTTACCTTTACATAAATTGAAAAAAGGTTTATGGTTTTATATGTGTAGGGAAGCATTCTATACTGTATTGTGCAATACATTATTACAGAAAAAACATGTTTCTGTAGGAAAGGTTGGCGCTTTGAAGATCTTTCTCCTTTAGTTTTATTTCCCTCTTCAAAAGGTCCTGTTGCCGTTTTTAGATGAAGTTAACTGTGCCAGAAGAATTAAATTCTGATTTGTATTTATTTCTTGCATGCTTTCCTCCCTGTTGCTAATACCGCTCTTTAACTGTTCGCTCTGTTGGATGTGTGAAGCTGTAAAACATTCTAATTCAGGTTATTGTCTGTGTTGAACAATGTAACTGTGTAATTAAAACATGAAATGAAATATTCATCACTCTTGTTGCTTTTCTTCTTTACACTCAGGCTCACTCTGAGATGACATCCTCAGAAGAGGAAAATGATCCCTTGTTACTGAATCATTAGTAACACAAAGTTAGCACTGTAAACTTCAGAAGTCATACTAATATTGCATTCCCTTGGGTCAGAAATAGGATAGCAGCAGATCTAAAGAACATACTGAACATTTTCAAATTATATGCCAACACTTTTGAATGTATAGCACACAAACAAGCTCAGTCCATGTCTTTGACCTCATTACTGTCACAAGTATTTATAATTTGAAAGATGCTTAAAGACATATATTCATCGAGTTCACATATATTCTACTAAACTAATTAAAATTTTAATTTGATCAATTGCATCTATCATACATTCTGACCAGGTTAAACCCTGCAAGATGCTGGTGAGCCAGTCAGTACAAACTCATGCTGTGCAGAAAAACTTTGTTTATACCCACTAAATGTTGTTTTAAATTCTAGTGGAGATCCCAACGCTTCCATATACCAGATATGTCGGGCTGAATCTTCATGAAACGTCCACAATGTTAACATTTGATGGAATTTGATGGTTTTTAAGTAAAAAAAATACTATATATCATCGTATAGCTTCACTGAAGAGTTACAACTACTGAATATAAACTGTCAGACAGAATACTAATGATGATATTGATTCTTCAACACTACTTCAGGGGAAATAAAAGGGGAAAACTAGATGGATAAATACACTTAATGCAATAATTAAGTAACTCTTTTCCAATTTCCTCTGATTTCAAAATATATATTGTAAAATTCTATTGGTCGAAACTTGCAACTTGCAATATTTGTTCCTGTCTTTGTCATATTCACACAAAATAAACATATTTTTCCACAGGTGTAATATCACAAAGTTTGTGGTTTTCTAATATTTTAGTCCAGGTTTCTTAAATACACTTTTGAAAAAAGAATAGGTATTTGTCACAGACATTTTAACATGCCTTGTTAAAAAAAAGCACAGTGTAAACCATACAATCAAACCTTACATCAAATAGGCCTATGCAAAATGGATAGTTTTGTAGTTTCTTAAGGGAGTGAGTTTAAATTACCAAATAACATCTAAGGATTAGACTGCAACAAAAATTGTATAAAATGTAATATTGTAGCCTAACTGTAGTTTTACTAGGTGTAAGTCACGGGGGAGATGTGAGGAGAGGAATGAATGAGGGTACTAAGGGCAGAGGAGCGGGTCGGCCCCTCGTCGATGCGCCACTGGGACGTAGACACTCTCCGCCAGCGTCGCTCTCACGTGCGCGCTCCTGTCAATCAATCCAGCGCGTCATGAGTCTCATTCACAGGTGATATCTATTAGCTTACCTCATATGCTGTCAGGTGTCGTGTCTGTGCACCATCAGCCCGTTTCCTTACTGTGAGGTATTTTCTGTGGCGGGTTTTTTTTTTTTTTTGGCAAGCTGCAGTCGGCTTTGCAGATGCCATGTTTGAGCAGTGAGCATGGCGGAAAATCATCTGGAGTACGGCTACCTGGAGGGCGAGTCCATGGGGGAGCATTTCGCCGAGGACCCGGTGGGTATCATTGTGTTTGCAGTGAATCAAAAGGCTGCCGTCAACGTTTGTTCGTTTGTACGCACGTCGGGTGGGCGAACAAATGACGGTTGTCACGTTGGACAAACGCAAACATAAGCTATGCTATGTACTGTTGTTATATCCATATATTATATACATATATATCACTGATAACGTTATGTACAAAGAACAACATCAGTGAGTCACATCCATTGTAACATGCTGTGTGACTTGTTCGACATGGAGCCAATCGTGTGCATGTCCAGGTTGAAGAACACACAGTGTGGTTCAGACACTTAAATAACTGATGGTAAAATCCTTTTTTACGTATAGATATTAGAACCTCAGGCCAGCTACATGGAAAACTCTTATCTGGACAGTATCAAATGTTCTTGTGCGTTCAAATTGACTTTATTTTAAGATATTGTAGGATATTTACTTCACTACAACTTAAAATAAATTGCTGGTCCAATTCTGGTCACTTCATTTTCAGATACAAAACCAATACTGTTTAACCAAATAGTTTCACTGTAATGCAGATTTATATACAAGACAATATCCAGGCTATCACCCTGTATCTTTTTAAATCACAATCAATTCACAGATGGGTGACAAATTAAAGAAAAAGTGTAGCTCTTAAAGATGGTGCACCACCACAAGCCACTGATTTAATGCCATTCATCCAAAAGATATTCTTATTCGCCTTTATGTTTTTGCACTCATTCATTAATTAATTAATTAATTAATTCATTCATTCATTCATTCATTCAGGTTTTCCTTGTAATTTGTCACCAGTCTGGTTTTCAGTGTATTAAGCTTAAGTCCACAGTGACTGGATCATGTTTCCATGCTTGTGTGTTTTCCCAGGAGCTGGCGGCCATCAAGGCCAGGGTTCAGGAGCTGGAAATGGAAGAAGAGTCAGAAAGACTGAAGGAGGAAGAGAGGTGTGATGCAGGAGAGATGCAGCTCCTGACCAGCAGCCCTCGGCCCGGTGAGGCAGCACACGGGTCTTATCCGCCTTGTGGTTTGTTATTGTGTCACATTGTTGTACAGCTAAATGCTGATTATGCATTTGGGAAGCCTCAACAGCGTATTCTTAGCCAGGTGTGTAGCATCTCGGGCTCCCGGCAGGTGAGGTAGCCACATTCTTCACCATCTGGCTAACACCTGGGACGCTTCACATGTGCCTCATCACTGCCCAATGAGACGAAGCAGTGAGCCCCAGAGAACCAGAAGGGTCCTCCTTGCTGCCTGTGGCGATTTTCTGCCTCTGTGCATCTCCTCATCCCTTCCACCCTCTCTCTCCTCCCCTTTCAGTTCCTCAGAACAGAGATACAATCGGAGGGGAGCCGGATTCTGAGATGTGTATTGTCAAAGATGATGCAAGAAGTTGATACGTTGGTTAAAAAGTAATCATTGTGTTCATTTCACCTGGAGTGAACCCCCTGTGTAGACAGTACATTCTTTTATATTGCATGTGCAACAGCAGTACATACAATTGTTTTTGTTTCCTTCACAGGGCCTTTCTACAATATGACTCCTGAGGAGAGGATAGACGCAGACAACAGATCAGTCTATGTAGGAAATGTAAGACTTGTCCATCTGTCTTTTCCTCATACCGAGCATGTGTTTTCAACACCTCTAGTCTGACACACTGTTGAACAAATCCTAGGTAGACTATGGAGCTACTGCAGATGAGCTGGAGATCCATTTCAACGGCTGCGGTCCTGTCAACCGAGTTACCATTCTGTGTGACAGGTTCTCTGGTCATCCCAAGGGGTGGGTTCAACTTTTAGCATTTAGTTTTATGTATTTATACTTTTCTTTTTCCTACCATAGAATACAGCTAAGTATGTTGGCATCCAAGTTTATTTTATTGTTGGTCTTTTCTCTCCCCCTCTCACAGCTTTGCTTACATTGAATTCTCTGATCGAGACTCTGTGCATAGTGCTATTGGTTTGCATGAGACGTTGTTCAGAGGAAGAGTCCTTAAGGTGAGGAGCATTACACTGCACATTAGTCTTAACCCTCAAACTAGTTGGCTACTCACAATCTAAAACAGACAAATCTCAGTCTACAGCACCCAAGGTAAAACTAACACTAGATTTTAGGAAAGTTGGAGATAGTATGGTATAGATATGTGCTTGATTTTGTCAGGGCAAGGATATCATGTAGTAGTGTTTAAACAGTTTTAGATGGGTAGAGCTGCAATTTAGCACTTCCTCTTATGATTCATCATTATCCCTCCTGTTGAATTGAGAAATACCATTTGATCCACTGGAGATAATAACCTTGCACATGTTTTGGTTAAGTTTATTTTTTTTTAATATTCCTTTTTAAAGCAAGCCAGTCACAGCACCCATATCTTCCATTTTCCTCATTTTGAACTGGTCTCTTAGATGTGAATAAATTGCACTTGTCTTTATATTCTGAACAGCAAACACAGTATATCTTTTAAATGCTTATCAATCATCCTAAACAGTACAGTAAAAACCAGTGTTCTTTGGCCTGCAGGTAATGCCTAAGAGGACCAACATGCCCGGCATCAGCACCACAGACAGGGGAGGTGGTCACCGAGGTGGCCACTCCAGAGGCAGAGGCCGTGGTTACCGTCCACCCCGATACCAGAACAGCTCCCGAGGTAGGTTCCGGTACCAGTCAACCAGGCCACAACATCAAACACCCCACCCTTACTACGGAGGCCCCTCAGTGGGGAAGAGACAGTGGGGACACATGGACTACCATGAACAGATGCCTAAACGATATCCATGTCTTCTTCTCATCACCCCACCATCAGAGGAGTTGGGGGCTGGGTCGAGTGGACAGCACTACCCTCAACAGCGCTAGCACTACCCACAGTATACATACTTAAGTGGGTGAATAGAACTGATTTCGTTTTAAAGAAGTATTTCCAGGAATTACTGAGTTGAGCATCACATAAGAGAGCCAGAACGGATGGCGGAGAGATGACTTTCTAATTTGCACCCCTGCATCAGTCCTTCCAGTAGCTGAGATGTGAAGAATGAGGACTGGAGTCAGAGGTGTTTGCATTATAAGCTTATGTTGCTGTGAATGCATGGGACAATCCTCAAATTGTTATGCAGTTTGCATCTCTTACCGTTTTTACAAATTGATGCGAATGTATCGTGTTGCTGCCTGCAATGTTATGTATAAATCCTCCCTATGTATAACTTATAAGTTCTTTGCTATGTAAGTGAATGAATAAATAAAACAATGATCCGGTGCTCCATTTGTAGTAAATAAAACACACGCAGCGATGTACAACAACAGTTAAGATTTATTACGTCGGCATTTCAATAATCAAGGCAACATGTCAACAAAAGAAATTAGGGGTATTCTGTACAGTGGAAGTTCAGAAGAAGGGGTAGATGGGATGTCAGCCAGTTTGCACCATCATTCCAGATACTATGCCATCAAAGGCCCTGGAGAATGATTGGAAAACAATTAAACACTGCCATATTAGGAAAATAGTGATACAAATCTCTTTGAAAATCAAGTTTTAGAAGAATTAACTCACTTAGACTGAATGGGGTCCCCAGGATTGTGGAATGGGTTGCACATCACATCGGTAAAGGAATTGTGTAATTTTCTGAACATCTGGAATAGAACAAGTTACTGCTTTAAACCATTCGAAGTTTAAAAAAAAATCAACAAGCACATCAAATTGTATTGCAGGATCATGTATGTGTAGCAGCACAATACAAATGTGGCTTTTGGAGAATTATGCTTGTTGGGCTGTGTCTGATTATTATTAGACATGCAATCAATTTAGGCTCAACTTACACTTCTAATTTCATTGTCCCGTAATGATGTGTTTGATGAGTCCACAACAATGACAAATTTCACCTTGGAGTTGGTTACATATCCATATCTAGATTGCGAGTTAAGGACATTCAGTTACCCCTGTAAGAGATGATTACAGTATGTGCAAGTCTCACAGACTTTAACCATTCTACAACAATAATAAATAGGAGGAATGCTTCTTGTAATACAGACATATAGGAGGATTTCAGCCTCTTTCTTGGTTAGTAAAACTTTGCACATTTAATTATATTCTTCAGCTATAATAAAGATATGTTAACACTCTTGTTAAAAACAGACTTATCCTTAGATCACAGTATAAGGAAGATCTACTTCAAACATAAATCAGGCACTTGGAGCACTTGTCTGAGTGGGTTATCCCAACCCTTAACCTTTTAAAAAAAAACAAGGATACACTTTGTAGTCTTCAGTGGGATAGAGCAGACCCAGGTACAGCTCTCTCTGGTCTCCCAAAGATTTACCCACAGCTGAGATCTTCTCCTCCACCACATCCAGAGAGGTGTGTACTGTGTAGTGAAACTTCAGCTCATTTTGAGTGGGCACACTGCGGATATACAGCGGGTAGTTCTGGGGGGAAAAAGGGCATAAAGAGTGCATACACTTAATAACGAACCTGTTTGAACCACTTGCAAAAACACTAAACAACGAAATTGGTAACAGCAGCCAGAATAAAATGATGCTACGTTAATGTTAGCTGTTATCGTTGCTCTGTTTGGGTATTTCAATCCGCTGGACCTACACAGAAAGCTGACATTTGCTTAGAGACGATTAAAAGAACAAGGACAATATTTTAACTCTAAGAAACCGGCTGTGGATAATATCTGGGACATTTAACAGCACGAATAATTACCTCTTTTGCGATTACTGCTATACACACCGCCATGTTGGTGTTCCTCCTCTGAGCTGTCAGGTGCTGTCACGTGATATGTTGCATTCAAAGGTTGTTGTAAAAGTGGGTCCATTGAAGAGTGTCTGATTTTGTTTTACACACCATTTGTTTGAGCTCCATTAATAATGTAACTTATTTATATTGTACGTTTGATAGTTTATTGACCAAAATACATTTGTTACATGATCCATGTTTTCATTCTTTCCGGGCAATTTCCAATATTATCGCGGACGTACAACATTTATCATAAGTCCCTGAATGCACCAAAAGTCAAGGAACAATTTTACGCTCAATTTTAACGATTTAATCCTGCTATACAACACTACCAAAATCAGAAGTCAACAAAATAAAAATCTATTAATCTAAATTCATTTAAAATTTGAATTCCTTTCAGCCAATCCCTTAAAACTATTATGTATGCGCAAGCGTTGCGCTGAAGACCCGCACGAAGGCAAACAAACCACTTCCTCGAAGTTGATGCTCATATGACTAAAGCATAGCAAGGCGAGTGATGTGTACTGTAACTCTGACTCTGTTTTGTGCAATAATATGTTGTTCCCTGACAGAAAAGGCACCAAATATTTCATCTCCAAACATCATCATCATGCTCATGGATGATGTAAGTTATTTTCTCTTTCCCTAGTGTCTTTAGCTGTTTGAGGAGTGAATGAGTCTGAGAGAATATGTGTCTGTGTAGCTTTCCTTTTCTCTCTGTTTGTTTTATATGTCTCTCTGAGGAGTAACTGTGATTCTGTACATCTAACTGAACACTGCAGCCTGTGTCTATGTCTGTCTTTGTGTGTTGTGAGTGTTTGACCTTTTCTTGGTGTGAATGTAGACAGGAGTTGTTAATAAGCTATCCCTATGTCCCTATGCTCTTCAGATGGGTTGGGGTGACTTGGGAGTGTTTGGCCAGCCTTCTAAAGAGACCCCCAACCTGGATGAGATGGCCGCTCAGGGCATGCTGCTTCCAAATTTCTACACTGCCAACCCACTCTGTTCCCCATGTGAGTCAGCTGAAAATGTTGCACAACAGAACCTGAACCAGCAGTTCCTGTTTTTAAAGATGTTGGATTAATTTCTCTTATCACAGTTGCAGCCTTCGATCTCTACTTGTGTTTTTTATTGTCACATTATTCAGATGTTGGAAAAGCACATAGCTAAAGAAAGTATGAACACAACTGACCTACCACAGAACAACACTTGTTATTTGCTAAAATAAGAACCATGCCACCAGAAATATTGTACTTTTTATGTCATTACTTTTTCTTTCATAGCTGTCATTACTAGTTACTTAACAAAACATACAAAGAGCTCATAAAATATAATGTTATTTATAAATTAAACAACTATTTTGATAATCATATAAGTCATTTTCCATGCACAAATATTTCATGGTCCCAGTTTTAAAAATGTGAGGATATGCTGCTTTTCCTTTTAAATATTTTGTAATTCATTTTTAGTGTGAAGGTGTCACTTTGGTAATTGTAACAGCATTTCTGTCAACAACTGATTCATAAAGAAACAAATCAGCAGGTGAATCCATACTGAAAATAGTAGTTTCGCAGTCACAGGGGGTATTTTTCTGCATTAAGTACTCTTACTTTTAAAACTTTAATTAAGTTTTCACACTTGTCACAGAGTTTTTTTACATTGTGATATTAGTACTTCCTGAATATTTCCTCCACCACTGGCTAAAATTAAGCTTGAAGATCGCATCGTTAAACACAACTCTTGTGAGAAACCTTTCAATTCTAGTTTGAACATTTTCATGCTTTTAGTTATCTGTGTAAAAAGCTATGTTCAGAATAGAGTTTGTGTGCCTTTTTTGTTCATGGAAAGTAGATAGGTAAACTTAAAAAATGCAGAGCATAGCTAAAAAGCTGCTTCTTTTTTGAGTTGAACTATGGAGATACAGGTTTTCTCCTGACTGCAGAGATTAGATTTGATAAAGGTAGATTGGGTACATAATGGAGTTAAACCACAGCCAATAGGAGCAGGAGATGCGTAAAGGGTATTAAACTTGGTAGTTACAGAAAAATAATTCTCAAAAAGCTGAAAGATAAAGGTATATTTGTTGAATAAACCAATATAACCAAATTACTTTACGGGTTGGACAAATTAATTTGTAATCTCCAATATACAGTATGTGACATTGGGAAGAGGACACACATAACTCTATTTGTTTGACAGTAAAAAAGCATTTAAAAGACCAACATACAGAAATCCTAATGACTTTTTTCTATTATTTTAATGACAGCCAGAGCTGCATTACTCAGCGGGAGGTTGCCTGTCAGAAACGGCTTCTACACCACTAATGCCCACGCCAGAAACGGTACGCTCTCAGTATATCCTTACTGTACAAATCATCCAGCTGCAAATAATTTCTTGCAGGTTTTCTCATTACTTAGTCTATAATGTACAGTGTGCAATAAAGTAATGGAAAGTTTTGTACACTAAAATGTGACCTTTTTTATAGCATACACACCACAGGAGATAGTGGGAGGAATCTCTAAGGATGAGATTTTGTTACCCCAGATGCTGAAGAAAAAGGGCTACGTCAGCAAGATAGTTGGCAAGTGGTGAGCACTTTATCTTTCTTTAATCCCGGTTTTTAGAGGTTCCTGAAGTTTTTAGAGGTTATGCTGATGACGATAGGTGATGGTGGCTGTGGCTCAGGAGATAGAGTCTGTCCACCCGTGAAGTGTCCTTGAGCAGGACACCCAAACCCCAAACTGTTCCTGATGGTGAATGAGATGCAAAATGTAAAGTGATTTGCATAAAAGCATTATAGAAATCCATGAGTATGAATTAACAGTCTGAATGAGCTGAATGATGTGAGTCACCACTATCCACTGGTCTCTCCACATTAGTAAATTGGGAAAATAAATAGAATTTTAATGATTTTTTTAAATGGATTCCATTAATTAGAGGACCGATGCCGGATGTTTTAGCCAATTTATTACAAATTATCTATACTTAACATTTCTAATGATAATTTTCCACAGTATACATTGCAATGGCATGTTGTAGCACAAGTATATGGGATTTTGTATTAGTGGTCTAAATTTAAACATGCAAAAACATGAAAACCATCCTTCAGCCACATTGATCTTGCACTGTGTGATTGTACTTTGTTTGTCACTACAGGCATCTGGGCCACAGACCACAGTACCTGCCTCTGGAGAATGGTTTTGATGAATGGTTCGGTGCACCAAACTGCCACTTTGGCCCCTACAACAGCAGCGTCAGACCCAACATCCCTGTCTACAACAACTCTGAGATGGTTGGCAGGTAGTATCACACTCAAGCACTCAGATATACATAACAGCAGACAGAAGCAGAGGTTGAGAATCTATAAAAATCTTCTTTCCCCATGACTCAGAGGAATAGTTTGGCTGGCTGCTCCTCTGGATGATATGAGTGTCTCCCCTCCTCTTCTTTCTCTGTACCAGCTGTGCTTGTGTATTCCATTTTCCGCCCATTTGTTTTCCCCAAAACAGCCATATGTGTATTCAGGGTCATTGGAACTGGCAGCCGGGCGTGTTTTTCGCTTAGCCGTGGGTTTAATCAGCGCTGCATACCTGGGCCCTGGACACACCTACACACACAAATAGACACGTATACACACAGACACACACGCCCTCAAGAGACGGCAGGTTGCATTGGCTATATGCAGAGACACCTGGAGGAAGTGAAGCGTAAGAAAGAGAGATGCCTGTCACTGCTTCTCCGCTCACCGCGCCACGCTTCGGCAACGCCTCATAACAGTTCCCTCTGCTCAGCTCTGCTGAGACTTCCCAAATATGTCTTTCACCGAAATCTCCTGCAAACACAGTCTGGGAAGGGGAGGGAAATTTGCTCCCATTGTCTTAATGATATTGTCTGCAGTAGTTTCGGTCAATTTAGAGGCAAAATGAAAGGCCTGACAATACAATCAGGTCATTGTGAATGAATCATTTCATACGGTTGATTAAGCAGAGGTAAGAGAAGCATGGTGCCTCAGCAGGTATTCAGATGGGATGATGGCTAACTAATAATGAAGGTTTATTTAATAAATTATGTCGACCCACTTTTTTTCCAGATACTATGAGGAGTTCAAGATTGACAGGAAAACTGGAGAGTCCAACCTCACACAGATGTACTTGCAGGTAAGTTAAATCTCATCTGTCCTTTCTAAGGCTGTCTCTATCTCAGATGACACAGCCCTGTTAGCGGAGCAGAGTGAGTCAGGTACATCCAATTTGTTTCACTGTCTCCTATGTAAAACTATTCATAGAATAGAGTAGAATAAAATGGAATAGAATGCAACTTTGTTATCCACCAGTGTGGGAAATTGTCTCACTAAAACAAAAGCACAAAAACATTAATCATCTATTAAACAATTTAAAAAGGCAATTAAAACCTGGTTTTGGCCTTTGATTCTTTTCACCAGCAGGAGTAGATTGTTCACTTTTGTGCCCACTCTACTTCATTATCTCTGCTGTACGTCAGTCCCTCCCATTCTGTTCCTAAAGGGATCAAAAGCAGCCTGCAGAGACTCACTGCATTCTTGAGAGGTGTAATATGTCATCACAAGAAGAGGGTGGATGTGTCAAGTAGAGCTTTGTAAAGCTCATATTAGCATGTCTTATAGGACTAGACTGGTTTCAGTAATGCAGTTATTATTGTGGCTCTGTTTTAGAGACTGACTTCGAAATACCAGTTTATATCTGGTTGTTAAAACTGGGTTTACCAGCAGGACATACTTGTGTGGCAAAAAAACAGTGAGTCACATCAGTGCTATATATAATACTTAAAAGTACACACAATTAAGTCATTTTAGCTTAGCACTGTTTTGACAGTTAGTATGCAAAAGTGAATATACTGTCCTATTTTGTACTAACTGGAAGTTGCCCACCAACAGATGTCAACTTAGCTGCTACTTTAAAATCAAGTTGAAAGTAGAAAGTGCTTTTCCATGTATTAGTATATAAATGGTGGCTTTTCTAAGTGAACTATTTCTTTTCAAATAGACACACACTCAGCTGGCACTTACGTAGGTACACCCAGATAAAACTACTGCAGCCTTGCAACAAATCCATTATAATGTTCAGTGTTTTGTTGATTTTGTTTTGCATTATACTCAGAGCTGTTTCTAATATTTACTCTACCCTCAGTATAACTATACAGATTAACATTAACTGCAGCCTCTAAAGCTAAAGCCTCTAAGGAAAGTTGAATCAACACCTCTCTAAAACCGGTTAAACAAAAACTGAAAATTCTAACTTTTATAAAGGTTGTGTTTATTGCAGGACTGTTCTATGAGAGTGTATTACTTTTCGCTAGGTGTACCCAATAAATTGCCAACTGAGTGTACTACATTCTCATTATTAGAGTTAGTATGTGGTATGCAAGTGAGAAAGGTTATTTACTTTATGCAGCCTGACAGCATTACTGTGAATGAAGCTACAGTAGGTGGAATTATTTGACATCTGCACTGAAAGTGTTGTAACACTCTCTCACACCCACTCCCACCTCTACAGGAAGGCCTTGACTTCATATTGCGTCAGACTGAGGCACACCGGCCCTTCTTCCTTTATTGGGCAGCTGACGCCACTCATGCCCCTGTCTATGCCTCCAAGCGCTTCCTAGGGCAGAGCCAGCGAGGCCGGTACATAATATGCAACCTAATTGTCTCTTTTATTGCAGATGCTTAAGTCAGATGCTTAATTATATGAATTATATAAGCTGTTATTGTCTGTGTTCTGTAGGTATGGCGATGCAGTGATGGAGCTAGACTACAGCGTCGGTCAGATCTTGTCATTGCTGCAGAATCTGGGCGTAGAAAATAATACCTTTGTCTTCTTCACCTCAGACAACGGAGCTGCTCTAACGTCTGGGCCAAATGAAAGTAGGTGTTGCAAACACATACAGTTTTCTTTTTGTTAAACCAAGTTGTACTCATTATCTGTCCTGTGTGTGTGTGTGTGTGTGTGTGTGTGTGTGTGTGTGTGTGTGTGTGTGTGTGTGTGTGTGTGTGTGTGTGATTTGATACATGAATAGATTGTTTTTGTACTTATGATTCTTTAGGTGGCAGCAATGGGCCATTCCTCTGTGGAAAGGAGACAACTTTTGAAGGGGGCATGAGGGAGCCTGCTATTGCCTGGTGGCCTGGACACATCAAAGAGGGCACGGTGAGAATATCCTGGTGATTTAAATCTTTTACCAAATTAGGCTTCCAAAAAAATCGACGATCATTCACTTAATCCCCGTCATCTTCTCTAGAGACAAGATTTATCCCCAAGATCCAGAGCCAGTTTTTTGTTCTTCTAAGCTTTGTTACTCCCTGATGTTGCATATCAACAGGTACCAGGAGCTGAAATGTTCTCTGTAAAGCTGCAGGCGATGTATAGGACTGTAAAGCAGGTTGAGAGTGAATAAATAATTATTTCACTAATCCTCTCTTTTGAATGATTGTTGCTTTTTGTTTCATTTGTGTATCATTTACCACTTTACATGTGCACACTCATGGCGCTGTAACCAGTTAATCTTGACTATGTTCAACTTCTGTCGAGCAATTGAACTCCAGAAAAGATAAACTGTGTGATTGTGGCCATGAAGCGTGTGGCTGCTTTTTCCACATTTTACTCAAATATGTTTGGCTGGAATTAATGCCCCATACTCTCTCTCTCTCTCTCTCTCTCTCTCTCTCTCTCTCTTTTCTCCCTCCCCTTCCCCAATTTAACCCCCCACCCACACTATGATCCTCTAAGCCTGTGCGTTCTGCAAATGACTTTTAATTGTATTAGGGGCAGCTGTGACACGGGGCTGTGACGCAGAGGGATTTGGTGGAGGAGCAAGCGGAGGCTGCAGTCTGCAGTAAGCCTTGCCCCTGGCTCATCTCACAGGGGTGTGCTGGGGCCTGATAGCACAGCAGAGTAGCGAGGGAGAGGGGGATTGGGAGCGTCTTAAGCGGCTAATCTGTTTGTGTGTTTGCTGAGGTTGGATTGAGCTGTAATGAGGACTTCAGTATCTGAATATGCCAGGCGCTCAGGATAAAGGAACAGAGGGATGGGGGGAGGGAGGTGGGGGGGGGCTACGGGGAAGGAAGCAAGGAAGAAGTAAAAGAGGTGGCTGGTGTAGAAAAAAGAAAAAGGAGGAAAAGTGCTAAAGACGCTGGTGCTGCCACACTACCAGCAACATTGTTGGCTTTGCTGCACCTGTGCCACATTATAATTGACCTGTGTTTGTGTTTGTGTTTGTGTTTGTGTTTGTGTTGTGTGTGTGTGTGTGTGTGTGTGTGTGTGTGTGTGTGTGTATACTTCTGAGTTATTTGCTTTATGTATGTTGGATTAGTTATATGTGTGACAGATAACTTTCTAGACCACTGAAAGAAGAACAGATGCAAATGATATTTCTACCTAAACAGAACATCACAAAACACGGTGTGTGTGTGTGTGTGTGTGTGTGTGTGTGTGTGTGTGTGTGTGTGTGTGTGTGTGTATTTGTTTGTGGCCTGGCTGTATGAATGAGGAATAGATCCTCCCTAAAGCTCTCTGGGGTTGTGATGACAAGGCTGCTTTGTTGGAGCTACTATACTCCACAGCGCTGGATTTATCACTCTGTGCTGCTTGGGAGGGGAGACAGACCAGGCACAGGGTTGCCCCCCTCTCTTAATTGTAGTCTTGTGAAATCTCTTTTGATCTGTGTATTGAAAAATGTCCATAAGCTCTTCAAGCAAAATGTTGGAGACAACAAACAGCCATGCAGGCCTTTGTTAAAAGGGGATTTCAGCAGGTTTATTTTACCAACTGAGCACAGATGCATCTTTACAGTATTAAAATGAGGAGACTTTGGGGGATGGGGGATTGGTTGTTGAAGACCACTTTAGCTTCTATTTCCACACAAAAACCCATTGAATGTATCTGAGTGATGAAACTTAGGAGGATGGAAGGAGGTGTAGTGGAATGAAGGAGCATGGTTGGTCTGAAGCAGGTGCAGATTCAGCATTCTTCCAGTGCCAAAAGGGAAGGGGTGGGGGGCTAGGGGCCAGGATGATGAGGGGTGGTGGCTGTAGGAACAAAGATGGGGAAGTGGGTGGGGGGTGTCGGCCCCACAATGTTGTCGAGCGTCACAATCCCTTTTGTTGCATTTTATCAGGCAGCAGACACACAGGCAGAGTGGCAGAGACAGGGATTGAAGCGCTGCCTTCTCAGATAACCACCATCACCACTCACAACGCAGAAAGAAAGAAAAGAAAGAGAGAAAGAGAATGTGACATTAATAGAGAGTGATGAGTCAAAAAAAGGCAAAAACAAAGGACGAAGAAAGAATGAAGTTCAGTGTAGACTGCATAAGAGGGCAGTGCTAACAAAGGAGGGAAATAAAAGATGGCAACTCCTGAGATAAATTCCTCCGTTAGACCAGTCTGAGTCTGAAAGTTTGGGTTTTTGGTCATGCAAGTTATTACCAACTAAATGTCAGTTTTGCTTCTTCTTGTGTCCTTTTGTCCTGTCTTCTTTAATGGTTTGTGTGTCTGTGTGAGGGGGACTTTAAAAAAAAAAAGAAAGAAGAAAAATGAAGTGATGGACTACATCTGTGTGTGTGTGTGTGCCCGCATGTGAGTGTCTGGATGTGCAGATAGATCATGGAATGCATTGCAAACCCTTTTCTGTGGCTAGTTCTGTGGATACAGAAGAAAAGGGAATTCATTTCAGTGCTTAGGAGCTTTTGTGTGTGAGCGAGTGTGTGTGTGTGTATGTGTGCTGGCTGCCGATAGGAGCACAGCGGCACATGGTGGTGCAGCTGCAGAGGCCTGATAGCGCTATCTGATTGTGAGCGTGCCGTCTTCCTCTAAGGCTCGCTCAGGAGAGAATGGAACGGAAGATCAAGGATGACAGCGAAAAAATGGCATTTTATCTGAAAATAGTTCAAAGTTTATAAATAAAATAAAGCTTTTCACTGGGACTGGGAGAAGGAGATAAAACACCAGCTCGCTCCAGCTCCAGCCGCCTGCTTGCCCGGGCCTTGTCCTCTCCCTACTTCCTCTCCTCTTCTTCTTTGCCCCCCCTGCTCAAGGAAAAAAAAAAACTAATTTAGAAAGAGAGGCATTTTGGAAATTTTTTTTATAATAAACCTGCAAGCAGAGATTAGTGAGCAGTCTGAAGAAATGCAGCTTTTGCCTACATGCGTGCACACAACCACACATACAAACACCATATCATGACTGTGCATTGTTACCTTGTTCACATTCATAAGGAACATCCAGGGTAAAATAGCAAGCTTGTGGTATTCCATTTGTGAACGCGTCATTATTTGGCAGAAACAAGAAGCAAAATCAACAAGAGTGTGTGTGTGTGTGTGTGTGTGTGTGTGTGTGTGTGTGTGTGTGTGTGTGTGTGTGTGTGTGTGTGTGTGTGTGTGTGTGTGTCATACACCTACCAATGACAAATGAGGACCAATTTGAGTTTTAGTCCTTGAGAGGACACATGGCCAATACTAATTTCTTCAAAGGTCACTTTTTCCAATCCTAACTCGCAGGTTGTGTGAAATAGCTTCTCATACAGCAGATAGTGGTTGTGTTTTTTTTAAATTGTCCTTTTTTGCAGGTGAGTTTCCAGTTGGCCAATGTGATGGACCTGTTCACCACCGGTCTGGCTCTGGCTGGCATCAGCCCTCCTGATGACAGGACCCTTGATGGACTAGACTTAACACCAGTCCTGCTAAAGCGCTCACACACCCTCCAAAACAGGTACGCACACACACTACTAAGCTTTGTGTAGCATTAGTGCTTAATTAGCAGTTTAGTTAAATTAACAAATGCTTGCATGCTAATGTGCTACACTAAGATAATGAGCATGGTGAACATTATACCTGCTAAACATTTCATGCATTTTCATTGTGAGTATCTTAGCATGTAGAGGTTAGCATTTAACTCAAAGCACCGCTGTGCCTAAATACAGTCCCACAGTGCTTCTAGTGTGGCTGGAGACTCTTTATAAGTGGCAGTGGACTTTAAGTGTAAGCATGCCCAAAGAAAATATTTTTTTTTTCGAAACAGAAATCTCCAATATGGTGCAAATTCACCTGGGAAGAAACAAATCTGAACATTATTTCTCCCTTCTCATCCTCAACAGGCCGATCTTTTATTACCGTGGGAACGAGCTGATGGCTGTGAGGCTTGGACAATACAAGGCACACTACTGGACCTGGAGCAACTCATGGGAGGAGTTTAAAAGTGTAAGACTCTCTTTTAACTCAGCAATTCTGTCCCATCTCTGTTTCCTCAGTTCCTGATTTGCACTGCCACATCCTCCCTCTTTGTCTAATCTTACTCAAACACACAAACACTTTCACTGTTGGTGTTATCTTGAAAATGGTTCATCAGTTGACTGCTGTGTACATCAGAGCGTAATGAATATTAATGAAGAGCCCCCACATCAGCGAACTTACATCATTCATCAACCAGTTGACTTGTTTGTTCTAACTCCAGTGGAGATTTTCCTCCCTTCCATTTACATACCGACATCGCCTGCTGTAGACTTGTTGTTTTGGCATCACAGAGCTCAAGAGGAAGAAAGAAAGGCAGATGCCAGCGGTATCCCTCGGCCGTAATTACATCAACTTGGTGCTGATTAAATGTATCAGGAAAAATGTGAAATCTGACACTTGAGAAGCAGGATAGTGTGGCTTTTCTTCCTCTCCTCTGTCCATAAAAACATGTCCTCCTGTCCTCTCTCCATGGCTCTGCTTTTCCTGTGATCCAGTTTGTTTTATGCCCCATCGGTCGCTTAAATTGCTCTCTCCTTCAGGGCCGCTGAATCAATAGCAGCCTCCTTTATCAACTCATGTGAACTGAAGTGGAACTTCACAAATAATGGCGTCTGATTGCCTGTGAGTTGCCTATCGATTGGTGTGTGTGTGTGTACATGAGAGAGAGAGAGAAAGAGGATGAGAGAAAACATGTACATGTATGTTCGGTATTCCATATAGATGTGCATGTCTGTGTGTGTATGTGTGTGTGTGTGTGTTTTATGTAGCGACTGTTGAGCTCCAATGTAGGAATGTTCAATTCCCAGTATGCTTCATGTCATTATGGCTGAATCCTTAAACTGTCCATCTCATGTAACCCATAGTACATTTTATAAACATGAAAAATGTAAACAAACTGACTTATGCGCTCATACTGAGCTGTTTTACACAGTCAGACTACACATGAAATGTTTTGAAAATTAACTTTAGAGGGAAAATCTGTTTTGAGGTCCTCAGTTAGGCTTTCTGTGGTAGGAATAACATGGATTTATCATTACTAATCATTCACCCTTAAAATCCCGATATATGCTTCAGTTTAACCTGTCTTGCCACAGAAATTCACAATCAAACCTAAAAAAAAAGCCTGTTTTCCTGCTTGCTCTTCAGCTGTGGTAATTCTTTAAAATATAATTTGGTTTTCTTGGCCCATGGTAAGAAATAAACAAGGGAAGATGTGTGTCTGTGAAGACGAGTGAAATTACAGGTTAATAGCTGGGAGACGTATTGCTCTGTCCTGGCTGTGTTCATACAGCTCAGCCATGAGGAAAATGAGAAATTTCACAGGCTTAAATGGCTCTCATCAAACTCTCTTGAGGCAGTGTAGTGATGTTAATATTGCGAAATATAGTTTGTCATGACTGTGGCTCCTTTGTATGTGGGTTGCTGAGTAACCTATGCTACAGTAGGAGCTCTATGGCAGCTGTGATAGTTTATTTAAACCATGTTGAATACTTAAGTTGATCAATGAAAACTGAAATTTTTTTCTTTTTTCCTAGATACCTATTAGTGCTACGCTGGTAACTTATTTATGAAGCAATTCTCTTGAATAAATTGACATAAGATACTTAACTCCTAGTTCACTTACTTTATGGCAAAAAGCAAGAACATACATTACTGTGTGCAGCGTATAAAGACCTCCTGGAGCATTTAGAAAATCTGAACTGCAATTTGTTCATGATTGTAGAATATGTCAAATATACTGGTCAAAGTAAAGTAGATGTTTGAAATATTCAGCCACAATCTACATAAAGTGATTGCTCTCCTTCCAAAGCATACCCTTTCCCCTTTGGATCAAAGTAGACACAGAATATTTCCTTTTCCAAAATCCATCCCGCCACCCCTGGATGCTCCTGCACCTTATCTTGTAATAGCGACTGCTCTGCTCCAGTTTGAAAGCAGCCTAGTTGTATCCATAGCATTAATGTCAGGGGAGATATGGAGTTCTTGCTGTTATGTCTTGGGTACAAGAAACAGAGTCAGAGAGATACACACAGCAGGCCTTTCTTGCTGCTCCTCTGGGAAGAGTTTTTTTCTTTCTTTCATTCTTTTCTGCATTTCTAAGCTGTTGGCTTCAAAAGACAGGACAAGTCTGGATGAGAGGAGGCTCTGCAGGGCGGGGGGTATCTATCCTTCTCACTCACTCTCTTTCTCTCTCTTCTATATGTATTTCGAGGTGCTCTGCCGAGTGATCTCAGAGGGGGGCAGCAGCAGTGCCTTACAGATGAATGCTTTCTCAATATTAGTTGTGCTCATCAAAAAGTGTGTGTTTGTGTGAGTGTATGTGTGTCTGTGTGATGAAGAAGGAGGAAGATCTCCAGGGGGTTCTGGAGGAGTGAGTGTGACTCAATCAGGCTGCGATCACTGCCAGGCTCATGAGAATGGAGTCAGGGAGCAGGAGCGAAGGCATGGAGAGATGAAGGGGAGGCAGTACAAGGGAGGAAAGTCCTCTATTTGCCAGTGACGCGAACCCTTTATGGTGTACCAACAGCAGCTGCAAGAGTAACACAATGGATTGGAAGACAATATACATATAGGCCATACGACAACAAGATAATAAACATAACATAAAATTGAGCACTGACAGTAGCAGGTGGCTGCGAGCCTAAATCTAAACATCCAGATCTGTTTAGCTGAGTTATCATTTTATTATACATGATAAAACACAGAGTAATATTCTTGTGTATGTGTGTTTCAACAAAAACAAGAATCAAATATAGGCCATTGAAAACTACCAAATAGGACACACACCATGGCATTAAAACTTAAATAAAAGTCATTACAGAGTGCCAGACAGTATCAAGACTTACATTAAATGGGATGTTGTGTGGTGCATAAAGAGAAAAAGCAAAAAGAAATTCAACCAGTTTGACTGACTTCATATACTGTGTTAGGTTGATCTTCATATTTAATTTCTGAGACTTTTGTTGCCAAAACAGGGATTTTGTGTTCTTTCCCACTGTGGGTTGCAGTCTTATACATACAGAAGACAGGGCTACAGGACTCCTGGTGGTTTAAAAATAAAAAAATAAATGTAAAATAAGAGATACTTTAGAAACATGGAGAGAGGGAAAAGTGATCTGAAGGGTTCATGCATTCTTCCTCAAAACTTTAGACTCTCTTTTCGAGTCTATAACTGATAAAGCTTTTAAAGGGAATAGTCAATAATCTAATCCATACTCTGCTTGAGTTATAGTACTATACTTATCCAAAGATCTTCCACATCTGTATTATGCAATCGTGGTGAAGTCATTACCGTTATGAACTGGCTCCTGTACTAGAAGTGTGCTTGGAAAAAAAAGGAAACTGGGAGCCATCAACTTTTCTCTTTTACTCTGCCTCCTTGTAATGACATATTAATGACATATTACAATCTTGAGATTGGCTTCAAATGAAGAAACCATATTAGCATCAATATGTAACTGTTCTAGTAAAAAGCTAAAAAGGTTTGTGTGTGTGTGTGTTTTCTCTCACAGGGCATCAACTTCTGTCCAGGTCAAGAGGTCCCGGGTGTGACTACTCACGAGCAGAAAGAGCACACAATGCAGCCAATCATCTTCCATCTGGGACGGGATCCTGGCGAAAAGTTCCCTATCAGGTTAGTTCTCTGAAAACTGAATTGCAGGAGAGGGGGTGGGGAAGAGGACAAAAAAAAATGAGAGAAGGTGGAAAATGAACGGGAGAGGGGTGAGAAGAGGAAGGCAGTTTGCCTGTTGATAACACAGAATGTGCATGAGATCAATGCTGATTCAATGGCATGAAAAAGAAGGCGGCGGATTGATCTGCTCAGCCAGAGCACGCCTGATTACACCCTTCTCTTTGTGATTGCAAACAGCTCCTTAAAGATTGCTATCTGGCCCTCAAAACCCAGATGCACCGCTGCAGGTTAAAATTGCAAGATAAATTGTTCAGGTCTAAATTGAGAGCGAGTGCTGTTTAATGGAGTTTTGTGTGTCTCTTCCTTGGCTCAGAGCAGAGTTAAGAATCGCCAAGAGGATGGAGTGACGCCAGAGGACACAGACAGCTGAGGCTGAACTAAGACTATTACTATTTAAGGGTGCAAAGATATATGAGCCTCCTCTTCTTTCTCTCAATATAGAATATTTATAATGATCTTTTAGGGAAAAAAAACTGACACAAGCGGACACCATGACTAATACATTAAGATAATCTCAAAATCGCTTTGATGATAGAATATTCCTTTTGTGCACAGTGTTCGCTTTGGCTTCCTCCTGCCATAAAAACTCCTAGATTGACCTTTCTTTTCTGCCTTCTGCCGCTCTGCCTCTCGTGTTTTGCTCTGGCCTCATCTCCTCTTTGCCTCCTGCTCAGTTCTCAAGTGAGATTGGATGATAAAACATTAATGTTGTTTTTCAATTGCCCACCTTTTAGCCTTGCTATTTACTTGGAAGAATAAAAAATAAAGCAAAAACCAATCAATATGCAGCCATGTGTTGTGCTGAGTGTGAGATATGTGTACGCACACACACACACACACACACAAACCAAAACCAAAACCACTAATTTTCCACTGGGGTCACTGAGTTCATTTAAAAGGTCAACCCCCTGTGCACACTCTTCTGCATGAACACTCCACCATCTATCCGCTCTAATTTGCACTGATCAGTCCCCTTCCTCTCCAAACTTTTGTCTTGCTTCCCCCCCCAATACTTCTCCCACTCCACCTACTGCTGCGCACCTTAGCTCACTTCTTACCACTCTTCTCACCAAGCTGCTGTCCCTCTGCATTCACTGGGACTGTTCTCCTCCATCCTACTTAAGTGTGTGTGTACACATGTGTATGTGTGCGTTTTGTCCGTGTGCTCCTCGGTCCCCCAGCTGGACTGGCTGCTTGGCCATCATTAATCTCTGTCTGCACCTAAAGAGCCACTTAAGATGATGTAGGGCCTGTCTGCACACATACCTTCACTACTGTCGCAGCCTGTGATATAGCAAAGAGCACACACACATACACTATCCCCAGTTGAGAACAGTCACCCAGGAAAACAGTGTATATTATAATTATGCAATCTAGAAAAGACTTTGGGAACAAAAATGCAGAAGGTATTAGTTTTCAGTTTTTCTATTCTCTTAGACAAAAGGGTCTAACTGCCATTGTTTTAGACAAATTTGATTTGAGTCGGAGGGTGTCAGGGCCTCTGTTGGTGGTCCATCTGTCCAGGATGAAATACAGACCCAACCAGGTGTGAATCTACCTTTGGATCCCCATTGGATTTGTTCAAAGCCTTTTTCCAGCTTCGCCCTCCATCTCTGTGACCCTATTGCCCTAAGGTTAACACATCCTACTTCCTCACCACCTACCTCAGCTCACGTCCCCAGAGCCCTGGTCATACAGAGTGTAGTCCCAGCCTTAACACTGCAGGCAGCCCTTAGACAGTCTGGCCTCATCTGCTGCCTGCCACCAAGCTCTTGTGTCCCCAATCAATAGTCCTTACTGAAGTGCTCAATTTCCACCAGGGTGGAGAAGAAGGTGGAGGGGAGGGGAAGGCAGGACAGATGTATTTGATTGTCTCCTCAATTCCCCCACCTTCTGCTACTGTGTGGTTGTTTGTGTGTGTGTGTGTGTGTGTGTGTGTGTGTGTGTGTGTGTGTGTGTGTGTGTGTGTGTGTGTGCGCGCTCCAGCAATAGTGTTATGAATCAGTAATCAGAGTGGTGACACACCTGAGCAATGCCCCCATCCCCCTTGGGTGCCATACATTATAAATCAAAAGACTCCATTTGCATACAGCCTGCTTATTATTCCAGAATTTGCCTCACCACCAGTAGGCTAAGGGTTATAATCATGATAATGAGCTGTGCTGACTGTGGGCTTTTTATTATTTGTTTGCAGAGGGGGCATAAACAAATGATATTATTAGTTTTTTGATTTAGAGGTCTGCACTGTAAGATTTTCAGTGCATAGACAAAACAATAGAAAACTTAGTGTCTTATGTAAGTTTCTCAGTACGTGGCATGCTTTGCTTGCAGACTTGTATGGGGAAAGTGAATACTTACAGCAGTCTGATAAATCTCCTTTACATTTACTTCTATTAAGTTGCTTCATCACTTATCACAAAATGAATCGCAACAATGCGTAGCGGGCACAGATAGGAGGGCAATGAAATATCCCTCCCGCTGATTGAGATCGGGCGAAAGCCGAATTTGCCGATTCCAGATAGCTGAAGCAATTTAATCTGAATGTCTGATTTGTAACCGAGGGGAGTAATCCGGTTTTTCCCTATCAGCTGGGGTCACAATGCGTAGATAGTTAGCTTATGACGAATGTGGCACACCAGGAGAGAGACTAATTGCAGCCAGTGCACTACCAGTCGAGTAATTGTAGGGGAAAGTAAAGACTGAGAGTATCAAGGAAAGGAGCAGGTGCTGGCTGATGGAGGAAGCCTTGCTGCCCTGTGGGAGATCTAAGAGGGGAGGGTAGGTGTGAGCTGGACAGGGCCTGGGGTTATTACTCTAATTGACACTTCACCTCACACACATGCACATGTTCCCCAGGGGCCAATCAGAGGGTTGGGTTTGCAGTGGAGGGAGGATGGAAGGCTGGCACAGGTGCTGCTGGCGAGTGTATCAGGGGTGTAATTGCACTGCTGATATTTGTCTGTCCGTGTGTCACGCCACCAGACGCCCACTCCCCCAACACACACACACATGCACACACAGCCCATTAACCCTACAGGTCCTATTGAGAGCAGCGTTCCTTTGAAAGCCTTCAGGGTCCCTGTGTTTTACACACTGAATATAATAATGCACAGAGGTGCTCTGGCTCCCTGGTGTCCAACAGCAGTAATTGAGAGACAGGGGATGGGATAGGGGTTACATAGTTCACGCTGCTGAGTGCGCTTTCCCAAAGGGTGCCCGAGTGGACAGCCTGTATGTGTGCATTTATGTTTATGTTTTTTGTTGTTAAAAGCTACAGCATGTCCCCACTCTGATATAATGAGTAAGACTTGGACTGGATACATTCAGTGTAACCCCCTAACCCTAACCTAAAAAAGGCAAAAATGTAGGGATTATGTTCATCGATGTGGTCGTGTGGTCGGCTTTTCCATTCATAATCAACAACAGAAACAAATGGACAAAACAGATTCAGAATAAAAACAGACTGTGTGTGTTTGTGTCAATGTGGGTATGCACTATGCATTAACATATGCAGAAACAACAACTGTATATGTGGAAGTGTCTGTATGTATACATTCATAAATGTAACCAGTAAATTGATTCAGACTCATCTTTGTTAATGTTTAAGACCATGGCTGGACAAAGTTGGTCCGCCAAAGGTTTCAATTTTATGCAAACAGTATATGCTGTTTTTCTTTTGTGAAGTAAAAATGCTTATTAAATATGTAGAATCCCTTAATCATTAATTATTTTTCAGAATTTAAGCACGCATTTAGACTGACACTTGCACAGGGAGTCAGTTGAGGGAACTTTGGAATCCTAGAATTATTTTGCATCTTAACAATACAATACAATTTGGCAAGTGGCTCACCATTAAGTTTCAGTTTTTGGCCCTCCAAAGGACATTGTGAAATTCTGATTGTAATTCTATATTTGCGAGCCTTTTAGTAAACATTAAAAAATTTGAAATGTAAAACATAGTCAATTGACAGAAAAGCAGTCCACTATTTAAAAAATTGGTTAATGATTTCAGTCATTTTTTTTTTTTCCCCCACTTTATTTATTGGTTGAAAATGTGACAGCATGTATACAGAAATACAAGAACAAACTTTTTCCAACCCCGACCCCCCACCCCTGGGGACATTTCAGTCATTTTTAAACACCTTTTGGTTGTAACCCTTTAAAATGTGACAATAAGCTGCTGTTACTCGGCTTTTGGTCAGACAAAACAAGACATCTAAAGACGTCCTCTCAGGCTCTGGGAATTTGTGAAATTTTTTCACAGTTTTTTGACATTTCATTTTTATAAATTGTATTGAAACTAATTGTTAGTTGTGTGTTTGCAGGGTTACGACTAAGGAGTACCAGGATGTGCTGAGCAGGATCTCTCTGGTTGTGGAGAGCCATAAAAAGACTCTGGTGCCCGGTATTCCCCAGCTTAACATGTGTGACGTGGCCGTGATGGTGAGAGTTACATAACATAGATAGATATATCTTTTACTTTCATCATGCACTTTGTCGGTAAAATTGCAAAACAAGAATTACTATATTGTGAAAACAGGCTTTGTTGTGTGTAGCAGCTAACTCTCTTCCCGCTATATCCAGAGGCAGTGGACCAATGCCAGTTCAGTTTTCACAGCAGATAATGTGTTTTCTTTCGGGCCAGCAGCCCTCAAAGCCAGGCGTGTTTTCATCTTATCTCTCTGTTGTCTGCATCACGCTCAGATAAATGAATACAAAAGAGAAAATTGATAAAGCTTTTATGAAAAAAATAAAAGAGAATCAATAAACGTCTCTAAATAGACATCTTTTCTCAGTTGCTATCTGTTTCCAGTCTGCATTGAGCCTGAAGACTTTTAATGTTCCACTTCAACAGATTTAGCTTTTAGTTTTCACATTTGTTTATCACCATTACAAACTCGCTCCTGAATGTGAATCCTGTTATCACCTTAATCTGGACCTTTTCACCTTGACTGTGTGTCTGTGTTATGCCTTTGTTGGGGAAAAAAATATTTTAGTTTATTTAAAAGTAGCTAAATTGAGCATCACCCCTGTCACCTCAAGCACCAGATTGTGAACTACACCACTGCGGATTTATTTGTGGCATAGCACTGCCCCCTTGTGGTGAAGAAAATGAACACAATTTTAACCAGGAATGTTGGTGCCTGTCCTGTAATATAATGTCTTATCCTATGTTGTGCTAATATGGATCTATTGACTTTTTACATCATGTATGTCAAGTAAGCCATTATCTGTTGGTGCCATTATTCACATGTATGTGGCGCTTTCCATTCCATTCATGTGATACAGGTCAATGCTTATTTGAGTTTCAGTTTTTCATTTAGAAGGAAATTAAATACGATATGTTTATTATTAGGTGTTATAAGATGTTTTCTCTGACTAAAGTTCCTACTTGTGTAGTGTAAAATCTAGTCCGTAAGATCAGGTTTTATGACTCAATTCTGCTAAATATTATATAATTGCATGAACTAGTAACTCATAGTTTTAAAATTTCTTGACACCACGTATATATTTAAAAAAAAAACAACAACAATATCCTAAAATGATTGTTCCAATAAATATTTTCTTGATAAATCTTAAACATGATGGGACAATATTTAATGAGACAATGCACAAATGTGGCCACTTAATAGCCCAAGACCCTCATGGCACACGACAGGACACCAAAGTGATCTGGTGCTCAATTAATAATACCGTTTGATAACTTCATATTCTTGTGCTTACTGTGATGGCTGTTCTCTTTTACAGAATTGGGCCCCTGCAGGCTGTGAGAAGTTGGGAAAGTGTCTCAAAGTGCCCAAGTCTGGGCCTTGGAAGTGTGAGTGGCCACACTGAGAGCAAAACTACAGAACCAGACACCAGGATGAGGAAGCAAAACCTCCCGAAAGATGTGCCTTTCTACAGAACAACAAACAACCTTATTTTATAAATGTTTATGTTTTTGAACTCTTTGTTAAATAGTTTCTGTACACTGTTAACATGTGGTGAAACCAAAAGGGAATTATAATAACATTACATTGATCATGCAGATAGCTTTTACAGTTGTAATTTTAATGAGCCAGCACAACTTCTACCTGACCTGGAGGAACAGTGCGTCAGTGGTTTAAGTCACAACTCATTTGAGTGGTGTAGAACAGATAGGGAAATGTATTTATTTTGATCATGCCTAAATCAGAATCAGCATGGGATTTATTACCAAGTCAGCAGTGTGACATGTGATGATATGTGCAATGTGCAAGATAAAATCCAAGAGATGTGTATTTATGTAACACATAGATTCAGTTTGAGCAATGGGTAAAGTAAATAAATTGTACCATGTTGGATTATGTAATTCATTCTGTATGTCTTCTACATGCATACTGCAGAAAGTGGTTTTCAATAAAAAAAAAATTTTTTTTTTTCTTGTTAGACTGTATATCTGGTACATTCTTAATGCACGCATTATGTGCATATACACATAGTTCTGCTTATGTGTCTTTAGACAGTCAACACATAATTTCACTATGAATAGTGAAAAGGAAAGAAGTAAACACTGAAACCTCTAATAGTTTATTCCACTGGTGACATTGCTGCAGCTGGTTTCTTCATCATGATGTAATAGAAAAGCTAACATTATCTTAAAGGTTTCCACCTCAGCCTCAGTTTTACAAATAAAATGAACCAAACTCTCTGTTCAGCTTTACAAATCACTAGCAGGCCCTGATGCAGATTCTTCTAGGACCACGATCTAAATGTCAGAGCACATATTTGGTCATGTTCACTGGAAGTCCAGAGTAGCTGCTGGTGTAAAAATATTGCGCATGAATTTAGTAACAGCCATTTCCTATACAGCTAAAAGGAAATAGCTTGTTTCAGGAAACAGTGAGTCGTCTTTTGCTAATGAAATCACACCATCATGTCAGAGGATCTGAATAAGAGCCCATCCATGGACGTGGACATTGCTTTTCTCAAATCAAAGAGGGGAATCCTTAAAGTAGCAGAGATGGTGAGAATATTTGCTCTTCAACAAAAGATTTCAACCGAAGTTCAAGGAAGGAGCTACAGATACAGTTACAGTGCAGAGGCAATAACAAAGTAGCACCACTAGTTTGCTGTATGCTTAAGTTAACAATGTTACTAAAAGTAGTTTGTTGATAGTAGTGACCCACACTAACATACAGTGCCAAGAGAATTTTAGAGGCTAAAGGAGCAACTTGGTCAGTAGTTCATGTACAAAATGTGATGTGGAAACATCAGGGCAAACTCAGTTCCTCTTTCTACATAAACTGGAATGTGCAACATGTTGTATGAAGGAAGGTAATGTGTGAATCAGAAGAACCGATGTGCTAGGCTTAGTGAAGATTGCATTGCAATTAAAAAAATGTGTCAAAATTTGTATTTTGTATTATTGCAGTGACATTTTTGTCTGTGTTTTGTGTCTCTTTTTCTGCTTTAGGTGACTCTTTTTGTAGCCTTTGTGTGTTTCACTGTAGCAGCCACACCAAAGTACACTACAGCCACAGTGTTGGAGTTTCTGATCACTTTACTTCTGTTGCTGCTGTATGTGCTCAAACTCAACAAGAGGCTGACTTTCTTCTTTTGGCCTCTCATTGTGGGTGATGTTTTACAGCACGGCATTATAAAATCCTATACGTTTTTCTTAAGACCTGGTGCTTAAGAGAATAGTCTACTGTACATTATTCTCAAGGTCTTCTCTTGTCTTCTCTTTAGGATATGTTCAATTCAGTGTTTGCAACATTCTACTTTACTGTCTTGAGCCTGATGGCTTTGGCTACATACACTGTCACAGGCACACTGGTTGGAGGGGTGAGAAATATTTCTTTAATCTATAATTGCAATCTGAGTTGTGTGGGCCAATTTTAATATGTGGATTTGAGTTTTCCCCTATACATTGTCAATAAAATGAAATATTCAAACATTGCTTTTATCTGTGCTGTCGCCCAACAAAATAAGTCCTCTTGAAGATTTTGCTTTTGTCTCTCTCTGTCTTTCTCTCTCTCTCACTCACATACACACACAAAGACACACACTGGTGATGACATGTAATGTGATTTGAGATCTGCTCTCTGTTTGCAGATAGTTGGTTTAATGTCAGCTGGGTTGCTGTTTGTGGACAGCTACACGCTTTTCAAGAACATCACATTCAACAACCTAAGACGTGAAGCCCAGAATCAAAACAATGAATGAATAAATCTATTACAGTATTCATTAACAAGTTCTAAATAACTGCGTATTGTATTATAAGAGTTTATTACAGGCCTACACTGTGTTTCTAAATGTTTCAGCCACTTCAAAGTTTGTGCCAGTTTTTTAAAATATATTTAAGATTCTATCTGTAATTCAAATGTATGCTGAAATATGTTTATATATTTTCAAAATGGATACACATCTTGTGAAACAACAAATATCAATAAAGATTTTTCTTTGCCTTGAGACATCACGAGTTGGATATTTCCACTGAATGGCTCAGGATTGTGTTGTGTGCAGCTGGGGGGCATCGCATTTCACATCTGGAGAAAGCAGATGTTGCGCTTTTTGGAGCTCTCGCGCTGCGTTTCCGCGCTGTCACTGTTTCCGTTTCCACCTCCGAGAAGCCTCACGCCTCCACATATCTTTTTTTTTTTTTTTTTGTATTGTTTTGCACTGAATCCGCTACATTACGTGGAGTTTTGGCTATCTGAAGTTTGAGGAGAGTTCAAATCTTTTCCAACCATGGGGGACATCGAGGCTCCCGAGTCGAATCGGCCGCGCCAGACTGTCCTACTCTCTGTTCTTCCGAGCAAAGAGTTCGCCACCTCAAGGAAAGGCATGCTGCTTATTGCTGAAGTGGTAAGAAATGGCCAGAGGAATCACTTCTTAAATTAAACTGTTACTGTGCCATTGTTTCGCCCCGATGCGCACAGGAGTCAAAGCGCGCTGCGTTCTGGACACTTTTATTTATTGTATTCTAACAGGACACTCCTGGCAGCTGTAGCTGTGTGCTGCTTAAATGCACTTTTATAAGTAACTTTAGCAGATTGTTTGACTGATATTTTAAATATAGGTCAGTCAGTTCCCGTCACAAGGTTTCCATTAGTTAAGGGAGGAGCAGTAAGGGTTTATAGTAACTGTGAGGTAAACTGCAGAAACTTGAAATAATACTGGATTATGGACACGAAGACATTCATTGTTGGGAGTCATCTGTACTGTCAGTGATCAAATAACGGTGTACGCATCTTCAATTTATCTCTCTTATATCAACTTGTGCATACAGTTTATTTAGCTGATGTCAAAGTTCATATAGGAGTTTTCTTTTTTATTCACTTATCAAGTGGATTTCAACAAACCAGGAACTGAAACACTGTCCTTGTGTGTCTGTGTGATGGCGTTAGTGCTGGTGAGGGGAGGGGTGGTCACCATCATCATGCATTAGGCTATTTGCAGGAAGTGTCTTCTAGCAGTAACTGAGTTAAGAATGCTGTATGAACCCTCACATTTGTGTCATATGACATTCAGCTCATGTTGGGCTGTGAGAGAGCAGTCATTTTGCCCACAGTCATGTCCTTCACACTGTTGCCACAACACGTAGCCTGGAGCACAATCAGAGCTCAACAGACCCCTGCACAACAATAAAGCCTCTTTACTGCTACTTAATAATGTGACTGTGATCTTCAGCCCGAAGCTAAAATGCTTCTTTAGAACTAAACTGCAAACCCATTGACCTCTACTGACAGACAGCAGACGTGCACCCTGCTACGTGCATGTAGGTGAGGGTACACAACAGGTTAAAGTTCAAGCCTTTGTGACAGCAAATGACAGTATTTGAAATAAATGTGGCTGTTATTTAGTCTATAATCTGCTAACTAAATTGATCAAGAGATGAGATGTAAATGTGTGTCTTTGCACCTCTGCAAATGTAATTTCTAGGGGAAATCCTGCTGTGTGTTTGTGGTGAGAGTGTGAGGTATCATGGCATTTACTATATCATCATTTATGGTTTGTGTGGTTGGATTCCTTCTATCTTTATCTAAAAGCTCAGTTTAAATGCTTATCTATGAAAAACACTTTCTCATTTACCTATTGTAGTATCTAGCCATGCAACTGTTGGTGTCATTCCTGCGCCCATCTTAATGTAATGGAGGTAATTGTAATTGTGGTGCTCACATCATTAAAATATGTCATTTAAAATGTTTGTTTACAGAAGCAGTATCGCTGTTACTTAAATACTTGACAAGTACTTCACCACATTGATGAAAAAAATCTAATAAAAATCCAGTTTTGCCACAAAACAGTCTTAGTCATAGATTGCCCACAATGATTTAATACTACAACTACAGATTAAGAGGATAGCTACCACAGCATAACAGTTGGTTAAAATCTCAGATGGTTGACAAATCTATATTGTGTCATATGATCTTACCACCCAACCCTGATTGGAACTACTTTTGATAGAAGTAATAGTTCCTTAAAAAACAGTTGACTGTACATTATCCAAAGTGCGTCAAATGCTGTGTAATTATTCACCGCTGTGATCACCACAGAAAAAAAAAACAAAACATCTTTATTGTGTTTGAGTACTGTTCAGCAAATTAAACCAAAACTCAGACACTAAAGTTTAAGTTTTAATGGTAGTTCAAAGGTGTGGAACTCCTATTTTTATTGTTATTGTACATTGGGATTGATTTGGTTTTAGCTTTGAATGCACCCTGGTATTTTTACTGCTCATATTCCTGGTATTTACTGCATGTGTACTGTGTCAATGTGTAGTCTACTTGCTGTAGCTGGTAAGTTATTCTTCTTAGAATATAGTATCACAGCTTTATTGTCTTTTTTTGACACAATTTAAAGCTTACAGGCGGTGTTAAATCAGCCCGCAGTCAGTGAACAACTGTTAGATGTGAGTCTTCCAAAGAGAGCGCAGCCTGTAGCTTTACCATTCTTGGGAGTATTAGTCAGACACATATCCTGCTGAGCATGCATTATGATACACAGTGTGTCAGACCACCATGCATTTCTCATTAGGATTCTCAGCCTCAGCCAGCAACAGACCCGATAAGGAATGTGAAATCACAGCACACTTAACGTGCTGCAAAAAACTAATTTTTGTAGCGTTCGAAATATTTTCAAAATGCAAACAAGCTGTTAATAAAAAGGTACATGGTGTAGTAAATGTGTGCAATGTGTGCCTCCTCCCTTGGTGGTATAAACTAAAAAACGGAGGAGAATTTTTTGCTCAGCATGTAATGTGTTTCAGGCCTCAGGATTTGTAATGTTTTTGTGAGTTTAAAAGCCCAAGTATGCAGCACCTTCAGTACCTGCTCATCTGACTCATCGCATACCTTATAAGGGCAACATGCTCTCTCCCATCTGATCTCAAAGTTTGAAAGTGATTTAGCAGTTAATTGAATAGTCATTCAACAGAAAATTAATCACCAACAATGTTTAATCTTAAGTCAATTATCAAGCAAAAGCCCCTGTGAGGATTATGTGCTTTTTTATTTCATTGTACATAGAATATATTTGGCTTTTGGATAGATATAGATCGATATTTGAAGATGTCAAAATAGTAAGAAATGCACAATATCTCAGGGAACAACCCTGAGATATTGTGCATTTCTTACTATTTTTACTTTTTATATTGACCAAATGGTTAATCGATCAACAAATAAAACAACAACAAAATAATTAATATTAAAATAATCATCAGTTGCAGCCCTTGAGCAGTCTCTCTCTCTCCCGACATGAAACAACATGAAAAATAATTATCCTTTTTGGTGTGATTATTTTTTATTTTTTGCCAGATTATTTAAAACACAAGAAAATGTAGAGACTGTGCCAGTTCATTCTGTGCGGTTTGAGTTGTTCAGCATAACACAGTCAACTTAATTTCCCATACTTTATTCTCCACAAGCCAGAGGATCTACTGAGAAACTCAGAAATAAGCTTCAATAGTTTCCTCTGGTTGTTGTCTTATTACAGGGAGATCTTATGGATCCCTGACAGAATGCAGCTCAGTAGCAGCATTTTTTAAAGAACAGCAGCTGCAGCAGTTTGGGTTCAGTCAGGGGGAGTGCCTAACCTCAGGGCAGTGTAGGATGACTGACTGAGACAAAGACAAGATGGCCGGGCCTGTTTGAGATTACAGTGTCTGGACTTGCTTTCATTTGCGCTGATATTGTGTGTCCAGCCCTTCTAGTGGAGAGCATCAAACACAGGGCAGGCTCATTTATAGTGTACTGTAAATACTTAAGACTTGGTTGCACACAGCTTGTTTCATTATTACAGCTTTGTGTTTGTGGGTGTTTGCACAAGTGTGTTTGTGTGTGAGAGAACAAGAGGGATTCGGTGCATCAGTGTACAAGCCTGTGTGAATAAACATAGTCTTTTAACAGCTGTATCTCCTTACAGGAAGTGGGCCTGGAGCTTTAATTCACCCTGACTCATGGCTTCGGAGTAGTGTAACATTATCTTAAAGGGAGAAGATCAAAGACGATTTCACTTCATTTTATTTCCAAGTTGGATTAAAAATGTAAATTTGCTTTTGGCTTCAAGCTGCTAATTTAGAATTGATAAATAATTAAGTACCTCCTTCAGTGTCTCTTAGTTTTTGTCAGTCACAAAAGGAAAGGGTTTTAGTTTACCCTTTGCTTCTTGTCTTAAACCTTTCAGTGCTTAAAACATATAGTACATGTTCCACTTATTTCTCTCTCTCTATTTTTAATTGTCTCTGTAGGTTCTTTCCTTTGTGTCATTTGTGTGTTTCGCGGCATCCACAGCAGCAGCCTTCGTGACAGTCCCCCTGTTGGAATTCCTGGCTGCTCTCTTCTTGTTGTTTGCCTACTCCACCAAATTCAATGAGAGGTTTAAAGGCTTCCTCTGGCCTCTTATGGTGAGTTTTCAAATCAAATTTAAGACTTTGCAGTGGGTATACAGTACATCCTAACCCTAACTATCTAACAGTGCTAAAAGAGGAAAAATACTAATAAAAAGTTTTGACGTTTCCTCTGAATCGTGGTGTTTCTTTCGTCTCTCTTAAAGGATTTCATGAGATGTGTGACTGCCTCCATTATCTTTTTCATCATCTCCATCATTGCAGTGTCCAAATATGGGGACGGCTCCTCTAAGGCTGCTGGGGTAAACACAAACAAAATCTTATAGCCTACACCACCATCATTTATCTATTAAGTACATGCAACACACTTAGCCTTTGTCCTACAACCTCAGTTTTTATTTTACCGGTAGTTTTTCACTATATTTATATCACATGTCCTTCTTTTCACAGATATTTGGGTTCATTGCCACCATCGTTTTCGCATTAGATTTTTATCTCATTTTTAATGAGCTGGCCAGTTTCCTAAAGCAAGGAGGGGAGTCCAATGAGGAGCCATCAAGACAGCAAGGTAATACCATAGATTAAAGTGTAATATATGGCCATAAGAACATTTTATTAGACTGTATATGTTTTTATATGACACATAATCTGAAATGTATGTGGTCATATGTTGCAGAAATAGTTTTGTACATAACTGTTAATTCAGTTTATGTAGGCATACATATATTGCTAATATATGATAATTTAAAATCCTGTGCTTTAAACTACACATCCATATATTGAACAAAAAATATATATAATATGTTAATATTATTAAAAAAATATCGCTAAACATATATTCAATATATTACAGTACGGATCCAAGTGTATTTTAAAATGAAATATAATAATAATACATGCACATACAAGAAACATCCATATTTTGGAATATTTGTCTACTTTTTACTACATTAATGCAGTGATTAGCACTGTTTGAATCCACGACCCAGCTGGAGGGATGGATGTCATACATCAGCATTTTTGTTCGATTTTATATTTGTGTATATCTGAAAGAGTATCAGGTCATTTCTGCTGAGGGATATGCTCATTTTGAGGGATATGTAATGTAGCTATATGTGTCAGATTTTTTTTTTTACATACTGCAAGAATCCTCTGCCCATTTCTGGGGTTAGAGGGTCGGTTCGTCCAAATAAACTCACTTCATGCAGATAGTTTTGGCTTTGTTTGCATGGAAACAGAGTCTGTCTCTGAGATGGAATTTAATTTGTGGGGTCCCTGTTACTCTGGATAAAAAAACATGCTGGGATGTTTTTTTGTTTAGCTTTTGTAATTTAGGTAAAACCCATCCTTTTAACTTGTAATGTTGACTCAAACATTTGGGCTGTATTTTCGTGCAGCCTGAAGAAATGCTAATAAAATTACTAAGGTAAGCTGTTTTCACGTGAAAGAGTTTGACACTGGGTTTGTGTTTCAACCCACTTTGGAAAACCTTTTATTGCAGAGGGGTGCACAAATTACAGCGAAGACAGACTGTTTAAACATTCAGTAAACCCATTTTATGCACACTACATTTCTTCTCTTTCACTTTGATATTAAAGGTTTGTACACAATTGCAGCTCTACAAGGTTTGCTTGTAGTTGTTTCTGTCATTTTCAGTGCTTTGAGTGATATAAATAAAACAAATACTTCACCTTCTTTGCATTGTGGTGGTGGCAGAAGTTTCAGAGATGGATTTTTTAAGACATTTAAGAAACTATGTGCACTGTTTGATACTGCCAGGGGGAAGTGACTCTGCCTTTAAACAACAGTTTGATGTTTTGCACTTTTTGTGTAATTTTGTTATAGTAGAACCCATAAATGTTTTCTGCGATATCACGACTCATGAACTTTAATCCATCGTGTCCTCTCACTGAAATGTCTTCAAGCGCACCATATTTAGTGTTACTTTTTCTGCATAAAAGCATGCAGTTACCAAAGTTTTAATTAATTATGTAAAGCCAACACAGAAAACCAACACTCATTCTGATACCAAAGCTGTTTTTTCCCTTTTGTTTTCTAGATGAGTTTTCAGACTCTGATTCGGACTGAGACATCGGGGATCTTTACCAGCGGATGTTTGATCATACAAAATAAACCTTTGCAGGAGGAATTTCCACTGCTGCGCTGCCATCTGCAAGATCTGCAAGTGTTTCATTAGGGCACAAGGTTACATTAATACCGTGTACAGTAGAAGGTCACAATGATTGTTTGTTTATTATGTACATTTATTGGTAGCTGGGGGGCTCTCAACACAGTTTTCTAGATGGGAGCCAGATCCTCTTCCCTTATCCGCTTTATTATGTTATATCTGTTGAGCATCCAAGGATTGAAATGTATTTCACACATAAATCATGTCAAGACATTCAGGAAACAAGTCTAAACTGATGTGTCAAGTATAGACGTGTTTTTAAATGAGTAATTTACTGTCCACAAGTAGTTTATAAAAACCCTGCTTTTTTCATGCCCAAATGACGCCCACCCATATCCAGTGTCTTAGATGATTTGGGAAAAATATAAATGCCATTATCAAACTGATAATTGATCATAAAGCTGTGAAAGTGTTTGGTCTCATTATACTGAGTTCTTAAGTTGTTTGTACAATCTGCATATGAAAGCACATGTCTAAATCTGAAATTATGACTAATATTTACTTCTGGGCATGTACCAGAACCCTTTACATACATAATAAACTACAACACTAAATTAATATCCTTAGTGAATAAATGTTTACTAATAATGAAGCTGTATTGTAACAAAGATGTTTTAAATGAACACAAAAAAATGGAAAGATAGGATTTCCTATGTACATGGGGCATCATCATCATCTATAAATTTACAGTGTTACTATAAGAAAAACATATGTATAGTATATAGAAGAACAGATTGGTTGCAGGTTGGCTGGTTACAACCGTTGTCCAATTGTCCTAACTCTACAAGAGTGTATTTTTATAATTTGAGGATAATGTTTGCTTATTTTCCTTTAAATTCAACTTTTGGGTCAGCAGTTCCCGTGGCATGCTGTACTGCATCACAACCTTTTCTGGGTTGTTACAAAACTTTTATTTTTGAGAGTTGTTGTGAATCTAAACGACAGAAATCATGATACATTTTCAAACCTATTCCATTAACCCAAAGTTCAAGAGACTTTCAGTTTGTCTGCTGTTTGTGCTTCTTACAACCTGTGTGTGTGTGTGTGTGCATGCGTCCGTGTGTGTAAATAACAGTGCATTAAGCCACTTAATGCATTATTGTTTTGTAAAATGCCAAAACTCCTATTATGTGAATCTTTGTTTTGTATGTTGATTGTTCATTATTTTATTTTTTTTGTGTCACTTCTGCATGTATGTTTGATTCTTCAGTTCTTCCACGGCCACTACTGAGAAATTAGACGCACTCGAACGCCACAGTGACTGTTTATGTAATATACACTGCACTACATGAGTGTTACAACAGTGCTCTGACTTGAAAATGGATGACTGAAAGTTGGCATTAGTGGCCTCTGAATTTCAACTATTGTGAGCAACTGACGTACAAATAGAAGGTGCAGTTACATGCGATAATTATTAATTGTTGTGCCCTTTTTCTGGTAGTTTGTTACAGCTTCAGTTATATTATGATTTTGTCTGAACGGTTCCTTGCAGAAGTATGCAATTTCTTATTAATAGATTGAGAAAAAGGTCTCAGATCTGTGCCTGCTGAGAGCTGTATGTGCACACATCTACAGTGCAAAAACTGATGCTAATCAGTGCGCAATGTTATATTTTTGCTGTCTTGTGAAAACCACATATCTCCATATCCATATCCATAAAGGTAATAATAAATCCTTCACTTAATGTTAAAACTTTTAAATAATCAAATCTGGTTTTCACTGGATAGCAAACTCGACCATACCCCTTTGCCACGCACATTCAAGTTACAAAATAATGTTACCATTAGATGAACACAGTACCATTTCATACATGAGCCCCCTTTCTGAACTATTGTAGGTGATGTGTGTTTTTTACTGTTGTGCCCTTTTGTGCAAAATATTTTGAATAAAAACCTGAGCTATTTTCAATAATGTCCAAATCACTTTATTTAAACTGTCACTATAAACGGATGTGAACCCTTTTGTGATTGTTTTAAATACAAAAATACAGCTAAGTACGGCTCCATGCTGTACAAGACAGACCTCGTTGTAATCATCAACAAAGCACACAGAAAATAAAAGGAAACAGAAGAGCGTCTCACCTCTAATGTCATCCAGTCACACTGATCATGTCCACTGTTTATAGCACAAACAATTAAAACTAGTGGAAAGCATTTTCTCTCTTTCTCTCATAAATAGAAACAGTTCATAATATATTGTAGCATAAAGTTGTATATAGAGAGCTGTGGCTTGATAGTTTGTGACAAATATGTTGGTCAGTTTATATTATCAAATAGCATAATGCACTTGCATGATTGTGCTGCAATGTTTCCTGTACAAATGTTTATGTGAACATTTTTATATCACTCAGAAACAAATGCATCAATGTAAGTGACAGACAGAAGCACAAATATGATTGTCTATTCATAAAAGTACTTTAAAATAGCAGTTGTACATGATATAAGTTACAAAAAACATGAGAAAAGCCTGATTAACCAAGCATACTGTATAGTATGGTAACTTTTAGGCTGTTTAAGAAGCCATACAATTTTTAGTTTTCATTCTGAACAGTCAAATAAAAAAATCTGGTCCTTCCCTTATACACACACTCCTGTAGTTAACCTGGCTGTGCAGTTAATCCACTGAAGTCACAAGGAATACATTTTAGAAGAAGACCAGGAGATGGAGCCATAGAGTCGATTTAGACCCTGCACAAACTCACCCAAGCCTAATATACATAAAAAGGTCTCAAACAACACCGAAAACACACACTCACACTCACACATACGTGTAACTATAGGGTAGATTCAATACATTAGAACAATGTAAATCACCAAAAATGAAGTTGACATTTCTTCCTCCATCCTAAATAGCAAATGTTATGTGATTTTTCAAGATTAATCCTCCTGTTTGCCTGTCAAGTACACTGGCTGAACAATAAAGGGATGATTCTGCACTCTGTATGTGTGACCTGTATAACAGCTGCAGCTGTGGAATGATTTCATAATACATGAAGTGTGTGATATACTGTAAATACATATGCACATTTTCAATCAACCAAATAGAGGAAAAGCTGCAGCAATAATGCTAAATGTACAGAATGTCCATCCCACTTGTTGCCACCTTCACATGACTTCATTTTTTAATCATGTAACTTAAAGTATCAGTTAATCTCTATGGTAGTCCTATGATTTCTAATAATTATGAAGTCATTAAGAAATACAGCGTTCAGGTCGAGGCACCCTGTGATTTAATTTCAAATGTTTGTTTTTTTAAGAATCAAAGATTGAAAGGAGTGTGTCAATACCTGAGATACAGTGTATAGGCTAAGGGCATTGATCTTGACCAGGTCACCTAATGATGTTTGTTTCTAAATGAATGATGATTCATGAACTATACCGCCAACATTTAAGTTACCTGAAGCTTTGGATATGTGCAAAAGTAACAAGATACCAATTACCTTATCAGTCTCATACACAAGTAACAAGTTGTTAGGCACAACCTGGGATAAAATAGATGGAATGAAGTGTATTTATTTTGATATTACAATTGTGTAAAACCCATTGGATGTGTTTAGTGTTACAAAGAAGTCAATCTTTCTCACTCATTTAAAATATTGTTGTACTGCGTATTTTTATTGCAGTTCAGTGCTGTTACTATATAATTGCTGGCCGGAAAGATCTTAATAGTGGCTAACGGTCACATGATAAAAAGTATTTGTAAAGCTGTAAAGGAAAAACACAATCTTTAGATTAAAATATCTTTTGTCAGCCTTGCTCACAGGTAGAAGCTGAAGGCTGATGTCAGTATCTACGAAAGAACAGTAAAGTCATGGCGCTTCGGTTGTACTACAGGTTACTGTCTGTTGCCGGTCCAGTGGCTTCCTGGATCCCCGATCACATTTATTACCACAGACTTCACAGAAAGCAGCGTAAAATAAGCAAACTGTACAAAAGCTGACCTTTCTTTTCCTCTGCTTCATTCACAGTGAAACACAAAACATTCTAAAAAGTCAACACCTACGCCAGAACGGGTTGGTGCACAGTTGGTGTGAAGTCAGCCTCTTTTATTTGGATCGTCGTGGAATTCATCCTTCACGCTGGTTTGGAAAGATATGTGGTTGAAAGCTTTAACAGAGAATACCTTCAATTCTGACTCTGAGCTCTTCACTTTAGAGTCTTTATGTGTCACTGATGAACAAAGCCACATAACTCACCTGTGGCTATGAAATGAAGATTTATTCAGTGGCTGGGCAGGTGGAAAGCACAGCTGAGGTGTTGTGATGAGAAGTCAAAAGCAGGTGGTGAGCTTGAGATAGCCCTTCCACTCAAGACTTGAATGAAATACCATTCTGAAGGCGGAGTAGCATCCATCTCACTCAGCTGCCGGTAGCGTGGCTTTCCCTTAGTTTGTCTGATTGTCTACCAGCACTCATGCAAGCTCAGGTCTTGCCTCCATTTCTCCACGAGATGCCGTGCGTGCTCTCATGTACTCGCTGGTCTGAGTCGCCCCCTGACACCCATTGCCAAGGCGCCACCGCCGTACCGCCAGGAAGGTGTTAATTCCATACACACCTGTCACCAGGAAGCCAAAGATCTGCATACAAGTGGAAACAGGAAGTAGAATAACAATGTCTGAATTGAACAGGAACTAACAGATTAAATACTTAACACACAGTTCTTAAAATGTTCTTTAAAATGTGTTACTATCAGATCACATGAAAATCTGTACAGACTGATAATATCAGGGTTAAAAGCTTTTAAAGTGCATAGACATATCGATAAATGAGCTTAGTCACTAAACACACACACACACACACAGCATAAAAAAATTTGAATTTCGCATATAATAGGACATGACTATGATGACAGTCAATTACCTAAATGAGACCTTTGCTGAGGTCTTATCTGACACTCTTCTATTGCATCAGTACATTGATACATCCTCTGTGATATTCCTTGATAAGAAACTAGATGACTGAGAAGAGGAGGGTTGTAAAGCTCTTATCATATCTGTATATCATGGCAAAAGAAGATGGTTCAGACTACTCACCACTGCTGCTATTTCAGCTCCAGTGCTGTGGTTGATGCAGGCCAGCACAAGAGATGACAAGAAGAAGAAGAAGGTGCTGGCAGCAGTGTTAACCAGGTCCTACAGGAAGACCCAAAAACATACAAGATCAGTAGTGCTATTTTTCAGGGCTGAGTACCAAGTATTTCAATGTTGCAGAGTAATTAGAAGAATTGATTAGAATTTGGTAAAGCATGAACTTAAAACAACTACCGTGCATAAATGTGTGAGCTGTATCAATTCTGATACCGTACCGATGCTACAGATATGTCAAAAATCATTTGAGCCACATGTGATGCCACATCCAGGTAGGACATCCTGGATGATGTTGTATCATGAACAAACAAAGAGTTTGCTCACACTAATCTAACCAGCCAGACGGAATTCTAGTGCTTCACAATGATTTTAAAACCGCAGGAGGGCAAAAAACATAACAGCACATACTTTTGAGTCACTGTGCACCTCATACTACCACACACATAACTCTCTCCATCCCCCACCTTTTTACACACAAGGAGGAGAATGAAAGAGATACTTCCCTCTGATGTTTTCAGCAGTACAGACAGTTAGGGAAGGGTTAATAATGAAGTGCTCAGCAAGACTGGGGCACGGCCCTCGTGATCAGATGCATGATTGTAATCATGGCAGACATGGTCTCTCATATGACACACAGTGCTCAGCACACACACACACACACACACACACACACACACACACACACACACACACACACACACACACACACACACACACACACACACACACACACACACACACCAGTGCACACACACAACAGACAAAGCAGACAACTCAGCAGGGCAGGAAAACTGTGACAATTTGCCACTGATCCTGCGCTTTAATCAGTAACACATTAATATGGAGCCATAACACCTCATGCTAACTGGCACAGTGCTATATTCCTAACCTTCGAATGAAATCATAACCCCACCCATCCACCCACACACACCCACACACACACACACACACACACACACACACACACACACACAAATGCACATACTGCAAACACTGACTGCAAACACAGCTCACAATGCACACACTGCCATCTATGTAGCCCAACTGGTTAAACAGGAAATGCTGCATATTCACATTTCAGTGTCCTGCTGTCATGTGCAGAAGGGCTTTTATACAGCTTTCATGTCCCATATTCTCTCAAGATCCAGTCAGTTAAGCCCCTGCACTTCACTCTTTTCCACATTCCACGTTTTAACCAGGCCAGTACTCTGTAAACCTTAAATAACACAAGCACAGACTGGACCAAACCACTGGCTCTCTGGCTTATTATTGGCTCATATCTTTGTTTTACAGTCCTCTCTCTATCTGCTGAGATTCAGAGCCCTGAACAAAACTAGTATACTTTAATATACACATTTGTTGGGTTTTAAAGTTTGTTCTTAATCTTGGAACCATACCATATTATTTTCAAACTACTGTACCTAACCCCTTAATATGAAGTTACATAATGTGGGATGGAAAGAGTTACACAAGAGGCGATCAGGACTATAATCAAAGATGTGTTACAATTTTATTTTGCGTATATGTATATTTGTGCACAAAAAGAGAGGGTCTTTTTGTGCTCTAGAGATAGAAGCAAGAAATGCTCATTGGACTGCAACTATGGAAACCTTGCAGGGTTCAGCAGAAGACTAATTAGGAAATCTATTCTCTTGACAATTGCAGCAGAGTCACACAGAGGCAGAAAGCTTTACACAAGAATAAAACATCTCTACGACTTTCACATCTATGCTTGAATAAAGATAGGAAACAAGTATTTCATATCTTTTGTCTGCTTGGGTGGCAAACTTCAGCTGTCAAAACCATGAAAGCTTTTATTGGATTCC